TGTGGAATTGAAATTAGATGGCAACTAGCAGTGGGAACGGAGCGCACTGATCGAAAGACTTTTTTCTTTGTCCTTTTTTTTTTTTTTTTTTTGCCACTGTTTTAAGAATTACTTCTAAAACTTTTAAATTACTTTTGTTGAAAGCCTATCTATTATGAGAAAAACAAAAGAAAATAGGAATTTTCTGCATAGCACAAACTTACGGGCGAATACTCCCACTCAGTTCTCCCTTTTATTGTGTTTTAACATTTCTTACTGGGTATTGTCAACTGAATTATATGATTTAGATATTTAAAAAATCATATTTCTTTTTGTCTTTGGAAAAGAATGGTTATTTGACACTTGCCTGCACGTCGTTTGGTTCCCAAACCAAGGGGAAAATGGCTTGCTTGCATTCTTGAAGTCTGATATATTGAAGACAGAAAGTGTACTGTTTATATACCCTTTCATAGTGTGGCTGCTGTGACTCCCATAAGGAGGGACTGAAAAGGACCAGTAATAAACCAGACGAGGAATCATGTCAGATGTAAAAGCGATGATCATAGCCTGCATTTCAGAGAAAGAAGACAAAAAAGCAGAGCAGTATTTAAGAAATAAGCCTTAATATGCATGGCTTTGCCATATACTTAGTATCTCACAAGTTACAGTATGAGCTAAAAATAGAAAATATGTACTTTTCCAGTCAGTGGTTCCCTCTGTAAATGAGCACGTAGCCACTCACAGGCATAAAACAATCTCTTTCTGGAATGTGTACTCTGTATGGTTTTGAAATTACGCTAGCTCTGCTGGATGCCTTAAAAAAGTTATACTATAATATACTTCTTTCCTCATAAGCATGCAGTGGAGGTCAGCAGGCAAAATCACCTTAAAGTACTCTAAGGTAACCTTCAGCAAACGTGCTTGCTATCAGATGTACTTATGAGATGCTTAAAGAAATCCTGCCTGATGAAACTCATGGAAACAACAGAAGAGTCCTTCAGAAATAGAAAATTAAATTTCAGCAGGAACCCTGAGGTTTGAGTAAAGGAATTAAATAAATTATATATGTAGCTGACCCCAGAAACATCCCGCTCTTTCTGAGGTGTTAGCCAGCCCAAATTCATCCTGGCAGTTGTTGCCTCATAAGTTTCAATGTCAGTACATGTAGAAACTGCTCTTGATGCCAAGATAATTTTTTTAGTAGCAGCTGCATAGTGCTGTTTTACATATGACGTGACCATTTGTTTTTATCTTGCTCCCAAGAGAGTCCCTGTCCTACTCAGTCTGCTAAGTCACAAACTGGGTAGGAAATTGGATCCGTGGGTTTGTTGTGGGAAGTCTTCTCTAAACTCATAAACTTCCCAAAACATCCTATTGTGGAGGACGGGCTAACTATGTTAGCCAATCTCCTCCCCTGCTATTGCAAATTCAAAAGGTTCCCCTGTGAGGAAGACTTTCCACTGGCAAGATCTGCAGCTGAGTGCCTAGCAAGAGGCTGCCCAGCCAGCTCATGAGGACGGGTGTCTCTGGTGTCCAGCACCTGGGAAGGAGCAATGAGCTGCACTCCAGGGCTGAAAGAGAACTCTTTTGTTCCCTGGCAGGGAAAAAAAACCCCACACTCCACCACACGGATGCAAAGAACCAGGGCAGAGACATGGAGGAGATAGGTGTGAAGTAGGGAGCTACTGGGATCGGGGGGTGGGAGGTTTAGGCAGAGATGCATACGAGGGGCAGAAAAAAGCTATAGGAAATATTTGGGGCAGAGGAAGTGGCAAAGTTAAGCAGTAGTGGGTAACAGAGGAACATAAGACCTGGTTAATATCTGTATTTTATTCTCCTTCATGTCAGTCACTGATTCATGCCCTCTGTATTTCCTTATTTTCAGGGCATGGGACAAAAATTGTCCACCTTGGTGCAGCATTCCCAGCAAGACAGACCCAACCTGAGGAGGTATTTGTAATAGTTGAAAAAAAGGGACAGGGAGGGAGGAAAAAGGTGTAAAAAAACCACAGCCATCTCTTCTACAGTTCCTCAAACAACACTTTGGTGGCAGTGCTAGATAAAACAACCACCCTCCCTCCTGCCTGTGCCCTTGGCAGTTCACTCATGCATCCATGCAGCTGTGCAGCAGATCAGTCCATGGCACTGATCCAGCTGGGAATTGCAGCTGGATCCACTCCCTGACCTGGTCCATCCTGTGTCTGCCAAAGTGCTGGTGCCAGCACAACACTGGAGACAGCAACAAGGGGAAAAGACAGGGAAGGGAAAGGGCAAGGAGTTGAAAAGTGTGCAAGGCCCATCCCACCTCAAGTAGCACCACTGCCAAATGTTAAACACTGAAAACAAGACTTGAGATTGAGATCATGGTCCAAAATCTATATTTGATTTTCCAGAATATTGTTACAATTGAGTTTAGCTGAGAGAAAGTTAATTTGGCTGGTGAGAAAGAAAAGGGAGGCGTCCTAAGACTAAAATAAACTCATCTAGAATTTTCAAGGATAAGATTTTTTTTTTTGGTACTGTACTTTGGCTTAAAACAAGTGTAGTTGGCATGCACTTTTAAAAACTGTTTTTAAGGATTACATGCCAGTATGCAATGAAGTGAAAATTATGTGTTGTTTATATTTACACGCAGAGTAGGTGTTTTTGGCGGAAAAGAAATATATATTACTATGCCCTTCAGTTGCAGGGAGAAGACCTCACACCTAAATTACTCTGTTTTTAACTGAAGTACAAGCACAGAGAGTTTTAGTTACATATAATTTCATTCTGTTCATTAGCTCATCCAGTCAGACCGTAAACGAACCAATAGCAACTGAACAGTAAGGCAAAAAAATCCCTTCTCCCTTTAGACCAAATGAGTTTGATGCTGCTTCTGTGTATCATTTAGAAAGATGCTGGCATATGGTATTTACACAACTTAATATTTGCTCTTAGTGAATTTTTTTTGCAAGGCCCCAGATCTCTCATCATCCTAAATCTGAATCCTATCCCACTCTCCTCCCTCTCTCGGAATGATCTCCAGATGTGCTCCAGAGAGCTGCAAAGACAGAAATACGAAAGCTAATCCTCCGGCATCCTCTCAAAGGAAAAACCTTTTTTTCCTCCTGAATTATGGTCTGCATTTTAGGGTATTGCACTGGAGAACTACAAACAAATAGCACATTCTCTGCTTCCCAAGCTTTGCTGAACACAGTTTTCCATTTTTACCATAACTAATTAAAATCAGTCTTCAAATGAACAACAGATGCTTTGGTATCATGCAACAGCAAGTCCAGGGCCTGAGTGGCCAGACGCAAAACTAATAGTTTTGGGTAAAAGTTGCTTGCAAGTTACTAGCAAGTGTTACAAAGGTAATGTATGCAGCAGGAAATGATACACTACCCGAGTCAAATCACAAGTCACGCAGAAAAGAAGAAACACTTTCTGCGTACTGAGGAAGCATCAAGGCAAGGATGGGAAAGGAAAGACTGGTGACTTATACTAGACGCTGGATGTCAAACCAGAAAAAAACATACTTAAAGGAAGAAAACAGCTTTTAGCATTTGATCTAGTGTTTGGCTTTATAGCCCACACTTCATAAGCAAGAAACACTCTGATCTCTTTGAGATCCTCACAACACCTGCAGCAGGGCCTTTTGAACATGGCAGTCTCTGACGCTGTGCCCCTCATGTGCTAATAACCCCACCCATGTCAGTGGCAAATGCACTTCGTTCCCACTGACATTAGCTGTATCTAGCACGTGGCACCTCCAAACAGGGTGACTTTAAAAGAAACATGCCTGCAATTAACAGTCACGTGAACACCGGGATTGAGTGCCTGTCAAGGAGGACAGAGAGTAAAACCAAGCTGTCAATACACTTTGAGGACTCCCATGGTTTCAGCGATGCTTTGAGGGATATGGCACATAAGGAGAAAGCCACTTTAACTCTGCCCTGAATATCATAAGGACTATGACTAAGTTTCTCATACAATATTTTAAAGTAATCTTAAGACGTATATTCAACTTTTTATTTCATAGTGGTATTATAAAATCCAGCTGGATTATCTAGGAAAGACTGCTAGCTTCTCCAATAGTATCACATTTGTTTTTCTTCCATGGCACCATAAATGTTTTTTGCTTTTATTTTATAAGTTTTCTAGCAGCATAGTTCAAAAGAGGATATGGATGCACCAAAAATGTTGTCTCTACTTCTAGCTAAGCTTCATCTGGGAATTTGCATTATCTGTTGGGATTTGCATCATTTGCTGGGAGAGTTATCATTAACAATTTTTTCCACAAGCACTAAACCAGAAGTCCCCAAAGGTGTCTCCAGTACCACCTGACATTTCTAAAAATCTGGAATGTGTTACCAAAGTTGCATGGCTTTTGTTTTAGATTTTAACATCAGTTTTAATAGTAGGCCTTGGATGTTTCATATGCCTATGGAACAGCTGGGTTTATGTTTGGTTTGCCTCAGCAGAGCAGTGCAAAACAGCTGGAGCATATTCTCAATCTTGCTGTCTCCCTCACACTCTTCTAAATTTTCCACCCTCAAGTTCCCTTTCTTCTTCCATCATTTCTCTGTGCTTAATTTTCTGCCTTTATGTTCTCCTGAGCCTCCTCTCTACATCCTAGCTATGTTTACCATACCTGCTGAATTTCTACAGTGGGAAATAAAGTTCTGAACAAGAATAATGGCCATTCTGAGAGGCCTTTGAATACCTGAAAATACATCTGATAGCTGAGGCTGATATATAAAATTTTCCTAATAATTGAAATCCACCCTGGACCCCTGTTTCTATATGGTACCACCTCCAACACTCAAAATAATGAAAACAAGCTACTGAGAAGATGATAACCCAATAGGTCATGGAAGCTCATCTTCCCTTTCTTCAAAAACAGGGCCCCCCTTCTTTCAGGGGCAAAAAAAAGACTTTTTAAAGCGAGGAAAAAAAGGGAGAGGAATACACAGGGACACACAGGGTGTGGGAAGAGAAAATGAGCAAACTTGTCCCATTATTTCTGAGAAGCAGAACCCCTGAGGTTGAGACACCAGAACAGCCGAGTACCTCATAACTACAGAAGACGCCTGAGATACAGGAAAATAAGTTCATGCCCTCATGTAAATTTGAACTGGTCTTTTACTTGAAATAACTAAACCCTAACTATTGGGTTAGTATCTATGGTAGAGTGCTCAGCTCTATCTCCCTCCTCTTACTCAAAGTCTACCATTCTCAAAAGAGACAGAGCCTCCTGTGAAAGCTTGAGCTAAGATGAACTCTTGTTTTTAGGCTCAACTGCTTTCTCCAGAAACTTCTACTGAGTGCAATGGGGTGCTGTTACTGCAAGGACGTGGTCCTGGAGGAAATGACTATATTTAACAGAAGGGATCCCTATTCTCACTGACAACAGCAGAAAAGGGTGACCCTGTTGAAAAAGGCTATTAACCATGGACAGTCTGTGGTGTTACGGTCACTGCAGAGGAAATCAGTGGTCACCTCTGTTTTGAGAATGGCCTGCAGTGGGAATTTTTTGAAAGATAATACATATTAGCTGCTGTTTAAGAACAAGCAATCAAGGAATTCACTGTGGTAAAGTCCAATGGATTATTTTTCTCCCTGCAATGCAGCCTACGTATAAGAACATGGTGAATCAATGATATGGGAAATTTGCAAGGTCTGAATTTCATTGTTAGGAGTATATTCATCAGAAAAAAATTTTCTTTTTTCCTAAGTATTTTAAAGAAATTATTTTAAAATTAATTTTAAATCCAACTGAAAAACAGATTAATTTGCAAATTCTCAGAAAATTCATTCTGATCTCAAAATATAACTGCTGCAATTTTGAGGACACATTGTATTTTTAAGTATGCACAAAAGAAGCTGAATTTCTGTTTTAAGTACAAAACTGCTTAAAGCCAAATTAAAATACTAAGGCATTGACCATAACAATTGTAACAATTAGAAACAACAATCAATTATAAATTTGCTAAGCTGCAACCTAATTTTTTCAAAATTAACGCATTTAGCCGTAGACTGTTTGAAAAGATCTCTGTATTATGAGCTATAATTTCAGGAAAGATGCACTATAGTCTTCATATGTAATGGATTTTTTGAAGATTCTGGCAACTCTAAATAAAATTTCTTTTCTTTAGATAAAATGTTTTAGACACTAGCCTTATTTTGTTTCCAAAATGTCTGGAAAGTACCTGAGAGGCTGTTTCACTGGGGCTGAAGTCATAATATCATAGAATTGTCAAGGCTGGAAAGGACCTTTAAGATCACCTAGTCCAACCATCAACCTAACTCTGATAAAAACCAGCACTAAACCATGTCTGTAAGCACTATGTCAACCCGTCTTTTGCATATCTGCAGGGATGGTGCCTCAACCACTTCCCTGGGCAGCCCATTCCAATGCTTAAAAACCCTTTCAGTGTAAAAATTTTTTGTAATATCCAATTTGATCCTTCCCTGGCGCAACTTGAGGCTATTTCCTCTCATCCTGGACAAGAAGGGATCTTAAGGGTCCTTAAGGGACTGATGCTCGTAATTCATTTAGGATCACTGAAGTGCTCCATTGCCACACGTGGCATTCCCATGCTTGGATGTGACACCTGCAGTGAAGACATTTCACCTTTTGCAGTTGTTGGCGCAGTACTTACGTTGGTGACCACGGCCAGAATGGCTATGCCTTGCATGATGGGCTGCCAGGCGCCGATGTCCTGTGCCTTCTGTGGAACCATGCGCCTGAACTGGGTCGTCAGCTTCCACGCGTCCAACCGGATTTCCAACATGTTGTTAATAAGAGCCAGAAGAGGAGCCAGAGGGAATGACGCCACAAAGAGAGTGACAAAGCCAAACTGTATAACTGTCAAAGGGAGAGGTCACATACATTAATGAGGCTTTCACTTACTGCAGAGAAGCATATAGGAGCACATATACTTTATATATTCAAACTGTGGGAGAGAGAGACAAGAGTAGCTGAGTTCCCAGTGAATCCTCTGTATGAGAAGATAGGAGTGCAATAGCACTGACAAAACCTGCCAGGTGGAGGGAACAGGAAAATGTTACAAGTTGCAACACACCAAGAGGAACCACTCTAGATATTTAAACACCCTTTTCTTTCTTATGTCTTCATCATGAAGACTTGGAAATCTAATGACTGTCTGTCTCAGTGCTGTGCTGGAAAGCCTGAATTAACAACTGTCTTATTGGTGTCCAGGTGCTGCAACACGTATGCTGGCAATGCTGTGACAGGATGAATGGTGGCAATAAATTGGAGATCGGCCAGCTCCCATGAAACCAGTGACAAGTCCTGGCGACTGCAGTCCCTAGCAGAGCAGTCTGACACGGGGCTCTGCTGCACAACATCAGAACATGGTAGTGGTCTGCCTCCTGGATGCATTTCTCAGAGAATGGGGCAAAGAAGCAGCAGTTCTCTTCCTTGGACAATCATGTGCTGTTTCCTAGTTATAAATTGAATTGAGGCTTAGCAGCTTAACAAAAGCTTGCAAAGAATTCTGTGCTCATGGAACCATAGACTACCAGATTGGAAGGGACCTCAAGGATCATCTGAGCCAGCCTTTCTTGGCAAAAGCCTGGTCTAGACAAGATGGCCCAGCATAGCTCATCAAAACTTCTCTTGGGAAAACATTCATGTCCCCTGTCTATACATTTATTAAGCACTGCTTGTACAAAGATTTTCTTTAGAGCATGTTTATACCCAGCAGTGATAATGAATCTGAACTGAATTGTTACTTACCCATTTCAAGATATTCATAAAACAGTCCAAGTTTTCCAACGGGCTGCAGGTGGTAGTCCTGTTCCCAGCGTGGAACAACTTTTTCTGATCGAGCAGCTGCACCGCATCTTCCGATTAGATTCTTAACCCAACTATCAGCCAGGGAGAAAAAGACCACTAACATTGGTAAAATAACCTAAAAAGTTCAGTAAATGGAAAAAAAAATGACATCTGTGCTGTTATAGGTTTGAAGAGTGGATTTAATTATTGAATTACTGAGAACTTCCTTCAAATATGAGTAGAATCATCTGTTGCCTTATCCTGAAAGCAGTTATTTACAAACATAAATAAGAAAGGGCAACATATCAGAATCACAGTGATTTATACTTATGTTGTACAGGTGAATGACCACATAAAATTCAAGTAACACAAAATCAAGTTAAATGTAGGCCTGTGGTTAGACAGACGAATTCCTTTTGATTACAAAATTCACAGAATAATAGAATGGTTGAGGTTGGAAATCACCTCTGGAAGTCATCTGGTCCAACCCCTCCTTGCCAGGCAGTGTCACCTAGAGCCAGATGCCCAGCACTGTGCCCAGACAGCTTTTGAATATCTCCAAGGATGGAGCCTCCACAACCTCCCTGGGCAACCTGTACCAGTGCTTGGACACTTTTACAGTAAAAAGGGGTTTTCTTATGTTTGGAGGGAGCCTTCTGTGTTTCAGTTTGTGCCCATTGCCTCTGGTCCTGTCACTGGGCATTAGTCACTGAGAATCACCTCTGGAAGTCATCTGGTCCAACCCCTCCTTGCCAGGCAGTGTCACCTAGAGCCAGATGCCCAGCACTGTGCCCAGACAGCTTTTGAATATCTCCAAGGATGGAGCCTCCACAACCTCCCTGGGCAACCTGTACCAGTGCTTGGACACTTTTACAGTAAAAAGGGGTTTTCTTATGTTTGGAGGGAGCCTTCTGTGTTTCAGTTTGTGCCCATTGCCTCTGGTCCTGTCACTGGGCATTAGTCACTGAGATTAGTCTGTCTCCCTCTTCTTTACTCTTGCCCTTCAGGAATTTGTACACATTGATGGGATCACCTTGAATGTTCTCTTCTCTGGGCTGAACAGATCCAGCTCTCTCAGCCTCTCCAATGGAAGTGGTGCAGTCCTTTCATCATCCTTGTGGCCCTTTATTGGACTTTCTTCAGTCCATGTCTCTCTTGTACTGGTGGGCCCAGAACTTGATACAGCACTCCAGGTGTGGACTCCCCGATGCCGAGAAGAGGGGAAGGATCACCTCCCTCACCTGCTGGCAACACTTCTTCTAATGCAGCTGAAGATATCATTGGCCTTCTTTGCCATAAGGGCACATTACTGGCTCAAGTTCAACTTGAGTTGTTCACCAGGATCTCCAGTTCCTTTTATGCCAAGCTGCTTTCCAACTGGGTGGCCCCCAGCATATACTGGTGCATGGGATTGTTCATCCCCAGTGCAGGACTTTGCCCTTCCCCTTGTTGAATTCCATCAGGTTCTTGTGACCCCATTTCTCCAGCCTGCCAAGGTCGCTCTGTGTGGTAGCACAACTCTCTGACTTATCAGTTTGGTGTCATCAGCAGACTTGCTGTGGGTGCACTATGTCCCCTCATCCAGATGACTAACGAAGATGTTAAACAGGATGGGACCCAGTAGTGATCCCTGGGTTACACTACTAGTGACTAGCCTCCAACTAGACTTCATGCCATTGATCATCACCCTCTAGAGTAGCTGAGTTCCCAGTGAATCCTCTGTATGAGAAGATAGGAGTGCAATAGCACTGACAAAACCTGCCAGGTGGAGGGAACAGGAAAATGTTACAAGTTGCAACACACCAAGAGGAACCACTCTAGATATTTAAACACCCTTTTCTTTCTTATGTCTTCATCATGAAGACTTGGAAATCTAATGACTGTCTGTCTCAGTGCTGTGCTGGAAAGCCTGAATTAACAACTGTCTTATTGGTGTCCAGGTGCTGCAACACGTATGCTGGCAATGCTGTGACAGGATGAATGGTGGCAATAAATTGGAGATCGGCCAGCTCCCATGAAACCAGTGACAAGTCCTGGCGACTGCAGTCCCTAGCAGAGCAGTCTGACACGGGGCTCTGCTGCACAACATCAGAACATGGTAGTGGTCTGCCTCCTGGATGCATTTCTCAGAGAATGGGGCAAAGAAGCAGCAGTTCTCTTCCTTGGACAATCATGTGCTGTTTCCTAGTTATAAATTGAATTGAGGCTTAGCAGCTTAACAAAAGCTTGCAAAGAATTCTGTGCTCATGGAACCATAGACTACCAGATTGGAAGGGACCTCAAGGATCATCTGAGCCAGCCTTTCTTGGCAAAAGCCTGGTCTAGACAAGATGGCCCAGCATAGCTCATCAAAACTTCTCTTGGGAAAACATTCATGTCCCCTGTCTATACATTTATTAAGCACTGCTTGTACAAAGATTTTCTTTAGAGCATGTTTATACCCAGCAGTGATAATGAATCTGAACTGAATTGTTACTTACCCATTTCAAGATATTCATAAAACAGTCCAAGTTTTCCAACGGGCTGCAGGTGGTAGTCCTGTTCCCAGCGTGGAACAACTTTTTCTGATCGAGCAGCTGCACCGCATCTTCCGATTAGATTCTTAACCCAACTATCAGCCAGGGAGAAAAAGACCACTAACATTGGTAAAATAACCTAAAAAGTTCAGTAAATGGAAAAAAAAATGACATCTGTGCTGTTATAGGTTTGAAGAGTGGATTTAATTATTGAATTACTGAGAACTTCCTTCAAATATGAGTAGAATCATCTGTTGCCTTATCCTGAAAGCAGTTATTTACAAACATAAATAAGAAAGGGCAACATATCAGAATCACAGTGATTTATACTTATGTTGTACAGGTGAATGACCACATAAAATTCAAGTAACACAAAATCAAGTTAAATGTAGGCCTGTGGTTAGACAGACGAATTCCTTTTGATTACAAAATTCACAGAATAATAGAATGGTTGAGGTTGGAAATCACCTCTGGAAGTCATCTGGTCCAACCCCTCCTTGCCAGGCAGTGTCACCTAGAGCCAGATGCCCAGCACTGTGCCCAGACAGCTTTTGAATATCTCCAAGGATGGAGCCTCCACAACCTCCCTGGGCAACCTGTACCAGTGCTTGGACACTTTTACAGTAAAAAGGGGTTTTCTTATGTTTGGAGGGAGCCTTCTGTGTTTCAGTTTGTGCCCATTGCCTCTGGTCCTGTCACTGGGCATTAGTCACTGAGATTAGTCTGTCTCCCTCTTCTTTACTCTTGCCCTTCAGGAATTTGTACACATTGATGGGATCACCTTGAATGTTCTCTTCTCTGGGCTGAACAGATCCAGCTCTCTCAGCCTCTCCAATGGAAGTGGTGCAGTCCTTTCATCATCCTTGTGGCCCTTTATTGGACTTTCTTCAGTCCATGTCTCTCTTGTACTGGTGGGCCCAGAACTTGATACAGCACTCCAGGTGTGGACTCCCCGATGCCGAGAAGAGGGGAAGGATCACCTCCCTCACCTGCTGGCAACACTTCTTCTAATGCAGCTGAAGATATCATTGGCCTTCTTTGCCATAAGGGCACATTACTGGCTCAAGTTCAACTTGAGTTGTTCACCAGGATCTCCAGTTCCTTTTATGCCAAGCTGCTTTCCAACTGGGTGGCCCCCAGCATATACTGGTGCATGGGATTGTTCATCCCCAGTGCAGGACTTTGCCCTTCCCCTTGTTGAATTCCATCAGGTTCTTGTGACCCCATTTCTCCAGCCTGCCAAGGTCGCTCTGTGTGGTAGCACAACTCTCTGACTTATCAGTTTGGTGTCATCAGCAGACTTGCTGTGGGTGCACTATGTCCCCTCATCCAGATGACTAACGAAGATGTTAAACAGGATGGGACCCAGTAGTGATCCCTGGGTTACACTACTAGTGACTAGCCTCCAACTAGACTTCATGCCATTGATCATCACCCTCTGAGTAGCTGAGTTCCCAGTGAATCCTCTGTATGAGAAGATAGGAGTGCAATAGCACTGACAAAACCTGCCAGGTGGAGGGAACAGGAAAATGTTACAAGTTGCAACACACCAAGAGGAACCACTCTAGATATTTAAACACCCTTTTCTTTCTTATGTCTTCATCATGAAGACTTGGAAATCTAATGACTGTCTGTCTCAGTGCTGTGCTGGAAAGCCTGAATTAACAACTGTCTTATTGGTGTCCAGGTGCTGCAACACGTATGCTGGCAATGCTGTGACAGGATGAATGGTGGCAATAAATTGGAGATCGGCCAGCTCCCATGAAACCAGTGACAAGTCCTGGCGACTGCAGTCCCTAGCAGAGCAGTCTGACACGGGGCTCTGCTGCACAACATCAGAACATGGTAGTGGTCTGCCTCCTGGATGCATTTCTCAGAGAATGGGGCAAAGAAGCAGCAGTTCTCTTCCTTGGACAATCATGTGCTGTTTCCTAGTTATAAATTGAATTGAGGCTTAGCAGCTTAACAAAAGCTTGCAAAGAATTCTGTGCTCATGGAACCATAGACTACCAGATTGGAAGGGACCTCAAGGATCATCTGAGCCAGCCTTTCTTGGCAAAAGCCTGGTCTAGACAAGATGGCCCAGCATAGCTCATCAAAACTTCTCTTGGGAAAACATTCATGTCCCCTGTCTATACATTTATTAAGCACTGCTTGTACAAAGATTTTCTTTAGAGCATGTTTATACCCAGCAGTGATAATGAATCTGAACTGAATTGTTACTTACCCATTTCAAGATATTCATAAAACAGTCCAAGTTTTCCAACGGGCTGCAGGTGGTAGTCCTGTTCCCAGCGTGGAACAACTTTTTCTGATCGAGCAGCTGCACCGCATCTTCCGATTAGATTCTTAACCCAACTATCAGCCAGGGAGAAAAAGACCACTAACATTGGTAAAATAACCTAAAAAGTTCAGTAAATGGAAAAAAAAATGACATCTGTGCTGTTATAGGTTTGAAGAGTGGATTTAATTATTGAATTACTGAGAACTTCCTTCAAATATGAGTAGAATCATCTGTTGCCTTATCCTGAAAGCAGTTATTTACAAACATAAATAAGAAAGGGCAACATATCAGAATCACAGTGATTTATACTTATGTTGTACAGGTGAATGACCACATAAAATTCAAGTAACACAAAATCAAGTTAAATGTAGGCCTGTGGTTAGACAGACGAATTCCTTTTGATTACAAAATTCACAGAATAATAGAATGGTTGAGGTTGGAAATCACCTCTGGAAGTCATCTGGTCCAACCCCTCCTTGCCAGGCAGTGTCACCTAGAGCCAGATGCCCAGCACTGTGCCCAGACAGCTTTTGAATATCTCCAAGGATGGAGCCTCCACAACCTCCCTGGGCAACCTGTACCAGTGCTTGGACACTTTTACAGTAAAAAGGGGTTTTCTTATGTTTGGAGGGAGCCTTCTGTGTTTCAGTTTGTGCCCATTGCCTCTGGTCCTGTCACTGGGCATTAGTCACTGAGATTAGTCTGTCTCCCTCTTCTTTACTCTTGCCCTTCAGGAATTTGTACACATTGATGGGATCACCTTGAATGTTCTCTTCTCTGGGCTGAACAGATCCAGCTCTCTCAGCCTCTCCAATGGAAGTGGTGCAGTCCTTTCATCATCCTTGTGGCCCTTTATTGGACTTTCTTCAGTCCATGTCTCTCTTGTACTGGTGGGCCCAGAACTTGATACAGCACTCCAGGTGTGGACTCCCCGATGCCGAGAAGAGGGGAAGGATCACCTCCCTCACCTGCTGGCAACACTTCTTCTAATGCAGCTGAAGATATCATTGGCCTTCTTTGCCATAAGGGCACATTACTGGCTCAAGTTCAACTTGAGTTGTTCACCAGGATCTCCAGTTCCTTTTATGCCAAGCTGCTTTCCAACTGGGTGGCCCCCAGCATATACTGGTGCATGGGATTGTTCATCCCCAGTGCAGGACTTTGCCCTTCCCCTTGTTGAATTCCATCAGGTTCTTGTGACCCCATTTCTCCAGCCTGCCAAGGTCGCTCTGTGTGGTAGCACAACTCTCTGACTTATCAGTTTGGTGTCATCAGCAGACTTGCTGTGGGTGCACTATGTCCCCTCATCCAGATGACTAACGAAGATGTTAAACAGGATGGGACCCAGTAGTGATCCCTGGGTTACACTACTAGTGACTAGCCTCCAACTAGACTTCATGCCATTGATCATCACCCTCTGGGACTGGCCATTCAGCCAGTTTTCAATCCACCTCACTGTCTGTTCATTCAGCCCATACTTCAATAGCTTCTCTGCAAGGTTTTTATGGAAGACAATGTCAACAGCCTTACTAAAGTCCAGGTAGACAATATCCACTGCTCTCCCCTCATCTACTAAGCCAGTCATTGCATCATAGAAGGTTAGCAGGTCAGTCAACTTTCTTTGACTTCCCCATGGTGAATACATACTGACTGCTCCTGGAATTTCTTGTCCTTCATATGCCTGGAAATGGTTTCCAGGATAAGTTGTTCCTTCTCCTTCCCAGGGGTTGAGGTGAGGCTGATCTTCTCATCTGAAAGGCTTGCATGAGAATTTAAGAAAACTGATGAATTGGCTGTAGCCATTTTCAGCAGTCAAAGAACCATGTTGAAAAAAAGGGTGAATGTCTGTCAACAGATTAAAAACCAAAATGATTCTTTTTATACTTGCAGAGATGCAAAATGAGAAAACAGTTAAGAACAAGATCCAGAAGTGATACTCAGATTTCCAACACCTAAATGCTACTTGTCCCCCTGGGAAGTAAAATAGAAATTCTGGTCAGATGAATATATTTTCTGTACACGGAAGGGTGAGTCGGCTGTCTATGGCTGGAGCTGACGTCTGCAGGCATGTTCAACCTAGCGACCCTTCCCCAGGTAAAAGAAGAGGCTGAAAAGAAAGATAGATCTACAGGTCTATCCTGCAACCAGCAGCACACACAGAGCACTGCGGTCTGGAGGAACCGTATCTCAAGAGCAGAGCATGCAAGCCTCAACACTACACAGGATTAATGACCCGCTTTGAAGTGGGGTCACTGTGCAGCAAAGAAGCACAGTTCATGGGCTTGAAAGAACCACAGCCAAAGGGTATACAATGCTGTGGGCTGGTGCTCATGGCATTCGTGAGGGCATGAGCAAACTGGGAGTTCCCTACTCCAAACAACATAACAGGCACTGATCAGCATAAAATAAAGAACAAATCCAGGGAGAAGGAACAGACTTGTGGATACTATCTTAACCTAAATGAAATGGAGGGCATTCATGGTTAGCTATTTGCTTATTGTTTACATTAAAACATGGAAAAGAAAGTGTAGGCACTATGAATATCAAATATGACTGTAAAACTAAACTAGTTAAATAAGTAACTTATGCACGACTATTAAAAGCCTCATGTCTAACAACAAATAATTCCACTCAATATTAAGCAACAGTCTTTAGTTTAATACTTTCAGAACTTTTATTGCCTCAGTTTTAAATATCCAGCCTGAAGCATTGGGTCTGATTTGCAGAGGAAGGAAGCATTTCTGATTAGAACTAAAATGAGTGAGTCAGAACAGAGACAGGAGCTCAGAGCTACCAGACCGAAAATATCCAAACTGTCTAAAAAGGCCCCAAAAGATTACTCTCATTCTTTTAGAATACAATATGTGCCTATCAGATTTAGTGGCCAAGTGCCTGAACACATGAAGCAAAAGCAGTATCTTTCAAATATGAAAGAATGGATTACTTAATAGCTTGAACTTACGGAAGAAGTACTTCTTGAATGTTGTTCCAGATTGCTTTACCTCCTACTATGATGGCAAGCTGAGTTGTAAGTTCAAGGAGACATCCACCTGGATCACACTGAAGGTTGGGAGAGACATGAAAAAATTTTGAAGTTGAATAACTTTTCAGGCATGAACAAAGCATTGAAAAAAATGCATTCCTGGTTTATGATGATAACATTTCTTAGACCAATACAAGACAACTATTTAGGCAAACCTTTACAGCAAGGTATGCAAAAGCCAATCCCAGGTCACATATGATAGGTTGAAAGGACACCAGGGAAAGAGTGCAACGCCAGGTGAAATCATGCAGCTCTGTAAGTTGCTGTCACCAGGTGAGGGTCACCCAGCAGACCAGGAATGCTGCTACTGATGTTCTCCCCTTCTCATGTGCCAATGCAGTTTGGTGGACCGTGGGAAAAGGAGCTTGTCTGGGTACGTGTAATACATTTCTAAGCCCAACTGGTCGCATGTCATATTCTTTTATGCTAGGGGTTACTAAGCACTTTTTGAACCCTCAACTTAAATATGCATAACTGCAGCAGAATGCCTGGACTAATGGATCCTGCTGTTTTAAAACAAACACTGTCATACATTCTTACCTCTTCATTGCGGTACTTTCCTAGCCAATAAACTGGATTTCCAGGGTGACCAACAAATTTGCCCTTAAAGAAGGCTATGTAGAAGCATGAGGAATAGTAGTTGACAAACTGGAACAAGAACATCTTTGTGGTCAGACTATTTTCATAATCGGTCTGTGTTCTTGGAAGCTCTGCAATTAAAAAAAAAAAATAATAAAATAAATGTGCCAACCTACAAGTAACCTACAAGATGTTTTAGAGCCTCAGCTGGAAAAGTATGTGTATGCCTTGTATTCCTTAATATTACTGAGAGCATTATAAATTAGATTGTACATAACCCCCATGTATACTGTAACCATTATGGTAATTCTAAAACTATATGGGTTGTAAAAAGGAAAGAACATTTTCTCTGACAATAAAGAAAAAGAACAAGCAAAAATTCTGATAACTCAGGGGAAAAAAAAAGCACCCAAATCCAGCACACTCAGGAAAGATGCAAATGTAACACTTTGAACTGATGGAACAGTATTAAATGAAACTATATTAAAACACCGCACTACTTCACACATCTAAAGTAAAATAGCGACTTTAATGATGATGGCCTGGATATAAAGAATAATAATATTTGCAACTGTTTATCTATTTAATAACATGGGAATGGTATCTAGCTTTGGAAAAGTGACCTTATTTCATTTATTTACAAGAAAATAGCTATTTTCCCCATAAACAAAAGCTAATGTAATTGAATGTGTTATGCCTTACTGATCTGTTTTCATAAAGCTTGGTTATTATAGTAATTTTCTTTGCTTTGTCTGTTTCAGAAGCACAAAACTGTAAACAATTGATCTTTCATGCTGCCTATACAAGTTTTCAGGCAAAGAGCTGAATACCATATTCCTTTGATATTGAGAAAATGTGTATTTGAAAGTTTCTAGGTGGTATTGTGTGATTCAGTGGGAGAATTCTGAAATATGTGGGACAGGTGCTCATTTGTTGGAATTCTTATTATACATATAAATGTCATTTTTTTCTTGCTATTTTACCCAAACTTTCTATCTGAGGTACAGCAGCAGCATACCAAAGTCAGTAATCAGGATTGCCACTTTTTCATAGATGATGTTGAGAACCATAATGACTATAAAGCTGATGAGTGAAGCAGTTACTGAAGTGGCTGTCTGCGGAGTCAGGTACTTGCGGATCGCCTCCGTTCCGTTAATGTGCTGTGACAACTTAGCAGAAAACACCAGGAAAACCGAGAGCCTGTAGACAATGATTCCAATAACTGAAGCAATAATCAAAAGAATCTGCCAAGGGAACGCAAGAAAGATGTTAATATTGAACTACTGGCTTTTGGAAAAAGTGTGTTTGAAATACTTTTTACAATAGGCAAAAGGAAACTCATTGTGTGCCTGTCATTCCATCGCATAAGATAAGTGCAAGGGGATGCTCAAATAAGATAGAAGGCAATAAATTTAGAATCCATAAAAGAAGCCCCCCCCCTTTTTTTTTTTCATGCAGCATAGTCAATCTGCAGGAAAGAAAAGAGATGGTCTGGTTTATGACCAATAAAAAGGTTTGCACCGATGCAAGCAAAGATAATGAGATGTGTAATCAAATCTTACGCCTCGAGGCATGTGATGGAAGAAATCTCCCTCTTTTGACATTGGGCAATTGGCAGGATGGGAAATGTGCTGGCAAGTTGGCACTGACTATGGAGGGGGCCGTACCTTCTCTTTCACATGATAATATTACAGACTACAGACCCCTCAAAAGAATAGACTAATTTTAAGCCGTCATGTAACCTGCAGGAGTTGTAAAATGATCCATGCACCCCATCTTGCTTGCCATCTCCTCTCTTTCTGCTTCTCCTGCTTTTATTTCTTGCTAGTTCTCTAGCTATTATTCAGATTGACAACCATAGAGCTGGGAACATTTTTTTCACTATTTCTGCAAATTGCCATGGACCCACCTACCTCCCCACTCCCTGCACATAATAAGACAGTGCAGCAACACAAATGACAAACCCAGACCAAATCTCTTCCCTTCAACCTGAAGTTCTGCCTATTTAAATCCAACAGCAAGTCAGCATTCTTTCCTTTGTATTTCAGACGTGTTAACTTTTAGGTTCTCCCAGGCTGCCAGCCACCACTCTATCTCCTATCTGTCTCCTGCCACTTAGGATGAGGTCTTTTCCAGCTGCAGTTTGTGCTACGGGCGAAGAGGACAGGCAGCATGCTAAAACACCGAGCTTTTCAAGGCGACCTCTCTGGGCATGCTCACTGCATTAGGGATTTTTTCATGGGTGACTGGACTGCTTTCAGGTTTTAGTTGTAATTAAAGCAGCAGCTCTGGAAGATTAGAGTGCCCAGCTTTGCTCTGTTAAGTGAAACGAAGAACCCGAGAGGCCCAGGACTGTGAGACATGATGTTGAAGCAAACAGCTGGAACAAGTAGGATAGAAACTGGCAGGGAAGCATAAACCAAAGTTTCCCCCCTGCTCCCCCCTTCAAAAGCAAAGACATTTATCTTAAAATAATGAGGGAAAAAGCAACAGACCACATTCACCAGCATGACTTGCAAGCTACAGCTGCAGGATATATTGATGTATTTTCTATTGGCTGTACGCTAATGAGTATTTGGTGGCTACAGCTACCTTCTCCGTGTGGCTCCATAACCTTATGGGCTTGGTTTATGCATAAAATGGAAATCCAGCTGAACCTGCTCCTTTGTTACCTTTTGCTCAGTTCAGGAGGTTTTTTTTTTTTTTAGACACTAACTAGAGAAGTGAATTCACGGGGTGAAAGAATAAGAGGAGAACTTACCCAGAAGAAGATTGCGCTTGTACAAAAGGTCATCCGTATGCACTTCCCACAGGCAGTGTATGGCACATGTTCTTCTTGCTGTAAAAGATTTAGAAACAGATCAAGGATGCACCCAATCTTTTCTTCATATTTTTTGGGTGCTGCAATTAAACCCGTTATGATATTGAGGGCAGAAGAAAGGAACAAAGTCTCTGGTTTTGTTTCCTTTCCTGCTTTGTTGTCCTGGAAACTCACATTTGTTCATGATTTCAAAAGTCTTGCCTGATTACATGTGTCTTTTTTTTTTTTTTTCCCCATTATAAGATAAAAATGACTTCCACAGAGGCTGAATATCCTCAGCTCTTACTGACTTCAGCTATGATAGGGTGCATGGTCCTTTTCAATGGACCCATCCTTCTTGGCTGATTACGGCATCCAAGGTCATTAGCTTTCAAACCTCCTTGGGTAAAATTAGCAGGCACTAAAATTTTTCTCCCCAATCTCTGTATTTCTCAATTTATCCCATAGGAACAATGGGATGGTTTTCCCAGGGAAAATGCCTACCTCAATATGGTGGTGTGAAAATTCACTGAGTCTTTATAGGATCTCTGAGGATCAAAATCATGATGTTTTAGTATATTCATTACTCTTTGAACTGTCTGAAAGGAACTTTCTAGCTATGACTTTATGCATTAAGGGTGGCATAGGTTCATAAGCTTTTAAACAGAACCAGTTTGTTTTTTTTTTGTAGTACAAGATATAAAAAGAAGATCTATATAGGATAATTTCAACAGCAGCATTTAATTTTAAAACTTTCCAAGTGCCCTCTAATAAACATTATTATAAGGTGGATGAGATGTGAAAGCAATGTGAGTGATCTGATATATGCCAGAGTAATATATTGATACAGAATACTAAAAAGTGAGGCTAAGCTGGAGTGAGCTACAGAAGCTAAAGCTACTCAAAATGTATAATAAATAGAGATCTAAACTAAGATCCTCATAAATATGAATCCTTTTTCATTGAAATGAGGATTATCCTTGTCTCTGTGAGTTTGCTGTTATTAATTGCAATTGCATTCACATGCACTTAGCAACAATACCTATTTATACATGTTTCAAACAGAAACATCTTTGGTTAAAAAACCAGCCTTGGCATGATATACAATGTAACATCTTTCCCTCTATTTCACCCTTTTTTCCTGATGCATTCTTAGGCAAAGATAGCAAATGCTCTGTGATCTTGGCCTCTGGCAGCAACACTGAATCATTTCTTGGGGATTTAATAAAGTAGACTTAGTCCCCTAAGCTGGGGACGATGCCTACTTCTGTTTATTTATGACACAGGAACCTCAGCAGTGCAAGCTCCTCAAACAGGCAATTACTTCAAGGTGCCTACAGTTAGGTATAAATCCCCTCCCACACATCTGTTCTTTGTAAGTTTGCTATTTCCAGGCCAGTTTATCAGCTCTCCTAGAAGCACTGCTGATTTACACAGCTCCAGACCAGATCCACCATTTTCATAGTGTCTTCCCACAGTGTGTGTATTGCAGTAGCCATCACCAGTTACCAGAATATTCCTTACCTGTGTGATTTCATTCATTACTACGTGAGTGCATCGAGCTTCATATTCTGGGCGAACTTGTTCTTCTTGCTCTAAGTATTCAACTGTGTCCCATTCGTACTCCAGTTCAGCTTGCCGTCGCTTCCAAAACTCCAAAAATAAGGTAACTATCCAGAAGATAAACAAAGTGAGCAAAATCATGTGAGTGTGGGATGCTGCCTGACCCGCTGGGCTATAACATGCGGCTCATGTTTTCCATACAGCTTTCTGCAGACATGGAATAAAACCCTTATCGGCTACAGTGATGGTGAAAATAACTGGATCTACTTCTTTATGCAATTATTGCTTTGGATATATATGTAATTTAATAAGAGAAACTTGAGGTAAACAGTGGTCTAAATGCATGCTAATGAATACAGGTAGACTTATTTGCTTTCTGCTTAAGGCTAAAATATGAGCACTTTGGATTTCATATTATAGACTACTTTTGAAAAAGTTTATCATGGGATGTGTAAGAAAGCATGTTGGTTGGATAGGCAAAGACAAAATGCTGAAGAGCACAGCACTTCTAGAAAAGAAAAACTCAACATGCCGAAAATTGTCACATGGAAAAGCTCATGCCCATTCAGTCTGCAATTTTTGCATGGATAAGTTATCAGTTTGCAGACTACAAGAACCGATGATGGATCAGGTAAAGTGGCTGAAACAAAGCCATCTTTCCTTCTCCGCTAACATCATTCTGAAGGGGCAGTGGCTCTTTTTGCATCGCCTGGAGATTAGAAACTCCCTGGGCTGGGTCAGACGGTTCCCTGGACTGTGCTCCTACAACTGGAAGCACTGGGGAACCAGGTACACTGGAGTCTAAGTGGATCTAGACATGGATCCAGCCAAACTCATTACCTTGGCCCAAGACATGATGCAGGCAGATCTGGCAACAGAGGCAATGACCAACCCAGCTGAGAAGGCTGGGAGGAGTTCAGGATGATGGGTGTCACTACCATACTCCCCAGTGCACCCTGATGCTTTGCTACTGAAGACAGTGCATCCTAAGATTAAATGAGTGGCATGGTTCTGTGAGCACTGCCTCCAGGAGGAGTTAGCATCCTGTCACTGCACTCCTCATTACTCCCATTGTCTGGGAGTAATTAACCCTAAAAGTTCTTTTTTTATTAGTTTGGCCACTCATCCTGAATGATGAAACATTGATGGCATGCAGTTACAAGTCCAAATTTTAAAGGTTATTTCCAAAATCAGGTGTGGTCAACAAACCCCAAACTGAAGCATTTAAAAACCAGAAAGCTCCATGGGCTGGGCTGTGAGATGACCTTGCCATCCGCACACAGGCAAAACCCCAAGAAACCCTCCTCCCCCGATTGCTCAGGGGCCTCTTTCACAAGGACTACATGCTTAGAAGAACAAAGGTCATCCCAGGCGGTGGGCCTGAGGATCACATTTGCCTTCTGCAGAGCAAGGGGATTAGTCTTCCATGAACTTCTAACTGCTGGTTGGGGCCCCAGCTCAAATCACAGGAAGCTACAGGCTACACTGATTTGCTCCAGCTGCAAATCCAGCTGCTGCTGGGGAGTTGAGAGGTGCAGGGCTATCCTTCATGTCCTTTTGTGATAGCCTCTGTGCTAAAATAAGCCAGCAGCCAAGTTGTGTCTTTCAGAGCAGGGAAAGACCTGTTGTTGGATTCAACATTTTCCTTCTATTTTGGACCAGCGTTCTTTTAACAGCGCAAATGAAAGAAGTCTCAGAATCAGGAGATCTGAGTGCTAATTGCACCTCACACTGGTAATTTATGGTGTCCCCTTTCACGTGTGCCTCAACACTCCATTCAGTATGGCCTAGGCATTCTGTCTCTGAAACTGTGTCACCAAGGACTGAAGAGAAATGCCTCCACTGGAGGACATCTGTTTGTTTAACTGATCTTGCTCAGGGAGGGGATCTAGTGATGGCAACAAGTGAAGTGGAAGCTGCTGCTTGAAGAGCTTTGCCAATCTAGTCATGCCATCATGGGAGAAGTGGTAGAAGCACTGGCTAGAGCCTTAATGTATAGAGAGTTAATTCCTGAAGCTGAATTCCCTGGTGTTTTATGGTGTTTTTGAATCTTCAAAGGGAATATGCTAAAAAAAAATTATGCAATTATTAAAAAGTGTATTGCTGATAATGATGCAATAATATATCTAAAAATCTAATATTCTTTTAATTGTTTTGGACCAGGAGGTCTGTATTAGAGCAAGATGAAAATTACAGCTGGAATTGTACCAGAACTGTGGGTCATTTGGATTCAGTACCATTTTGACTGGATTTGTGTAATACAATTCACCTCCTCATACAGTGGACTTATCATAAGAATACTAATAGACCTTGTAGCCATCACTACAACTATGCAGCTTAACTTTTTAATTATTACTTTTGGAACAACTCTTCAAAACAGGAAAAACAATTTTTAATTAAGAAGCAAATTGCAAATAAATTAATTATTCAGATGACAGAAGATTACATTAGTGTCAAACTTATATATATATATATATATATTTTTATTTTTTTTTTAATATGTACATAATTCCTGCTGGTATCTTGATTTTAACATATGTTTTGAAAGGAATCTTCTTTTTGAAATGGTACGTTTTATCTTATAATTCTCTAAACCAGTAGCTGTTTTTAGGCACTTCAGGTCATCACAGGAAAAGAAAAATACAGTATGTTTTACAAAGAAAGCAAATTATATATTCTTGTAATAAATTCACAGCGTAACATGAGTTATTTTGTCTATAGTACCCCGTATACAAACCTAACATATAATTTATTTTGGTAATTTCTGGATAAGGAAGTGCAGTAAAAGCTAGTTAACAAAGTTGCTAATATGAACAAATGAAACTGTTTCTGGGAAAATAAACCTTGCCTAATCCCTTAAATACAGCACCGAGTGGTTTTACCCATGGGAAACATCCTGGTTTCAGATACATTTTCCCTTCTAAAAGATAAATCTAGTGCTTGCAACTACTACACTTTTTACAATTGGTTTCTTAAATAAAGACAGGAGGAAAAAGTTCCTGGGAAATATAATTAAAGGCTATTTTTCAATTGCCTTGCACAGTCATGCAGTTGTTAATAGGTACAGGCAGCTCCAAAACTCTTTGGGAAAATACCCCAGCTCCTCTGCCAGATACACTTAAGCATGTGGCTGGCTCCTGCTGGATGAAGAGAATCACTTCTCTTACACTTTTCTCCATGCTAAACAAAACAGACACCGAAGACAAACCTTAAGTTCTACAATTTTTTACTTTCTTACAATGTTAAAAAAGACTTCCTGTGAATGTACGTATGTTCTATGGAACTACCTACTAATGAATTCCTGAGTGCTAGAAAAGGAAGTTGTTGCAAATTTATCCATGTTTCCTCAGCTGATGCTGGAGGCTTGGCCAAAATTAGATGACAAACCACAGTTGTTGAAATCAACTTACCCCATATTCCCATAAATACTGCAAACACCAGTGTTCCAAAGCTGTCAAATATGCAGAGTTTCTGGAAAAATGGAAAATAAAAAAAAAAGGCTTAAAATATAATCGACCATTTTTTTTCTTCTACACTGACCCAAAACAGAAGCTGCTGACTGAACATGTTGATTTTTAGCTTTTATGTGGTTTAATAAACAATCTTTATTGATAGTGTCTCCTCAATTTCTGTCAATGTACACCACGCTCCAATAAATTAAGGAAATTAAATGCAAAGTCCAGAATTAAAAATATAAGCTAAATAAGCAGCAAGAGGATAATAAAATGCTGTGCTATCAAACTTCCTTCCATCTGTTGCATAGGAAGAGGAAAAACAGTGCTTCTGGTCTGGTAACTCAGTATAGAGTTATGAATTGTTAATACAGCCACAAAAAGGCCATGGACACATCTGGTTCTCATGAGCAGGATAACAACAAATCAAGCTGGTTAGTAAAAACACATTCTGATGAGATACCTCTGTGGCCTTTTCTTTCCATCATAGCTTTTTCCCTGCATTCTTATTTATTTTACCCTTTAAGTGCACTGAAGCAACACATTAAAGTTGGGCAAAATATTTTTGCTGAGTTGCTGAAAAATCGATTTTTGAGACTGAGTGAATCTATGGGAAGGAATGACAAAAGGCTAACATTAGCCTAATGAGACAAGGTAATGGAGAAAGAAAATGAGGTTCCTCCATACAGCAACTCAGACCAAGAGTCTGGTTGTGTTATGGCTTTTTTTTTTTTTTTCCCCAAAAAAGGAAGAAGATCGTTACTGAATTTTTCCCACCTGACACATATTGCTTATTATACATAGAAGTGTTTTATCCAAGCTAGAAGGCAGATTTAAACTCCTGGTCTATATAAGGATATTCCAATATTCTGATTAAAGTTGATACCTGTTTCCCTTTGTTCCCTTCCCAAAAGATTCTTCTCAGGTGCACGAGTCCAACTTCTTTTTAAATAATGTAATGCTTTTTTTTTTTTTGCTTTTTTTTTTTTTTTCCCCAAAAAAGGAAGAAGTACCCCCAAATGAAACCAAAGTGTTTAATTTTCAGTTAACAAACCACTTGCATCCTGTATCAAATATTCAGCAGCAATTTGAAATAAGAAATAAAATAAAAACCATTTTTTATTCATCTTAAATCAAATTGGAGCAATTAATGTTGTTGGTTTTGCTTTTCAAAGTTCAGTCAATATATCAAAAAGAGCAACTCTTTGCACAGTTCTAGCAATTCTGCAGGACATTAGTGGAGGAAGAACATTGCTTTAGATGTAGTACTAGAGAAAGTGCAAGTATCAAGCGTGCAAGTATGCAAGTATCAAGCGTGTTGATAAGCTGTAAATGTAGTTACCTTGGACGATTCACAAGTGATGGTGAGGTTCCAGTAGGTACATACTTTATCACACTGAGGGCACATTATGATATTACCTCCTATGTTGGGATCACATACTTCTTGGCTAAAAACAAAACTAGTCAGTCACTCACCAACACTAAATTCTTTAGTCCTTTTTTGCACGTGATTACAGTGCAATAACCTCAGGGAACTGAGAAATAATTTACCAGTGGTCTGCTCTCAGGAATTCCCGCCCCGGCAATCCATCCCCATTTCCATTCTTAGTCCTTGTCTCAAAAATGGATGACATAGGAGGAAAATAATTTCCATCCACTGTGGTGGTAATTATATGTGATGGTAATTCTCAAAACTGCTCACATTAAAAATAAAACAGCTTCAAAGATCTCACACTCTTCAGTAGGAAACCCACACTTGCATACTCACGCACCCTATCACAGCAAATCTGAGGGGAGAAGGGAGAGGAACACTGCCCACTTGAGCAAGGAATAGCAGAACCGAAATGGCTACCTAGTCCCTGTGGACTCCTAAAGAGGATGAGATTGGAGAACGTGCAGAGGGGGGCTGCTAGGGTGATTCAAGGAATGACAGATCTGTCTGCTAAGAAATGGCAAAGAGTTGCCATCTAACTAGTGCGTACTAACCTAGTATGGTGGAGGCTGAAAGGTGAGGTAATTGCTTCCTATAAATACATCATGGGGGTACACACCAGGAAAGGAGATGAGCTATTTAACTAAATGATAACACTGATGTAAGGCTAAATGGATTTAAATTGGCCACAGGAGTGAAGCTCTGGCATGGCCTTTCAGCAAGTCTTATAAACACCCCTCCAGAAGGAGGTATATGATATGATGGCCTGTAGATTGTTTGGCACAATGACCCAGGTGGTTTTTCCTGGGTTGTTGAATTTCCTGCCGTGGTTGAATTTCACCGTGTTCTGGTGAGGGAATCTATGTCATGGCTATGCTTCTCCTCCCAGTGCATCCTAAGCAGCTGAAGCCCCTTGTGCTGTTGCTCTTGCTCTATTATTCTCTCAAAATAGAGAAAAGAAATTTTGGGGTTTTTATCAAGGTCTTTGGATATCTCCTTTAAGGATTTCCACAGCAAAAATGGTGTGTTACAGCACTTTGTATTGATTTCTGATTGTCACATTTTTCTTGTGTCTATACCAGGTGTGGTGAACCTAGTGCAAAATATAAATACAACGATGAAATAACAAACTCGCAGATGTCTACCACTGTAATGGTCTGTGGACAACCATTATTCTTACCTCATATTTTATGCTTTTACCTTCAAATCCAGAAGCATTGCTGTTCTCAGGCCCTTTCACTTTGCCTCTTTAATTACACAATGTCTTGCAAACCCTGTACAGTCCCTCTCTGTAGGGGACTGATCAAAGTTGCAGGAGTTATTAAAATAGGCCTGATCAGGTACCTCCATGTGCAGTTGTCCTTTGTCAGGCATCCATACAGAAAACAGCCAACTCCTACAACCGCAGCCACGATCAGCATATTAGTGTAAAAGCCCAGCCAAGCAAAGTATATTCCAATTTTCTCTCCGTAGTATTTCCTGTGGAGGGGAACGTTTTTTTTTTCTGAAATGCAAGTAAATTCACATTTCTTTTTCAAATAGCTCTTCATTGTAATACATTTTGCACCAATTTATATTGTCATATTCTTCTGGTTTGAACTTTGGGATTATAAAAGTATTGCAGCTGGGTATTTCTACCACCACTTTTATGCTTTTATAAGAGGATAGAAAGGGGAAAAAAAAAAGGAAAAAGAGAAAGATGACACCACGCAATGAAAAATTTTAAGTGGTTGCCTTTTCATGAATTGGCTTGTCGTGAAACCAAGCTCAAAATATGCTCCCACGCATGAGTTCATATGGGTGGATGTATCTACCGTCAGAACTGATCTGCGTCTCCCTGACACCCACCAAACCAGACCTGTTGTGTAAATTCTTATTACCCTCTGCATTTGTCCAGCCCCCGTCACACCAACCTGATGAAATCCAGGGGTTGCAGCTTGAAAATGTTTTTAGGATGAGCCCACTCCCTGTAGAGAAGATAACGTTCACTTGGGCAGCTGGGATCGGTCGATGGGTGCCTAAAACTAGACTGCAAAACAGAAAGAGAACGAGAGCAGCACAGGTCAGCTCCCCTACTCTGCAGACTCTGTGCCATGAAGCCAGAGCCTGGAGTAGCCTTTTGGCCCAGTCTCGTTGCAAGCCAGGAAAAGGAGAGAGGAAGGCAGCTCTGGGAGTGCACCAGGATTTGGGATAGAAGGTTCTCAGAAAGGCACTGAACGCCGAAGCAAACGCTTTACATATGTGAGCTGAAAAAAATCTAAGCACATGGCAGTGTCTTGGCACTTAGGAATCAAAAATAGGAAAGGAATCCTTCTAATTAGAGAGCATGACTGCATTAAAATGGATTTTAAGTAGCTTTAACATGCTAACATGCTTTGTTTCAAAATAATATTGTGCTGGAATGAAGGCAGGAAAGTCTGAGGGATAAATCCAGGGCTTCTAGTCTCTGTTTTAAATTTAAAAGAGAGTTCACGTGGAGATAATCCTTGTGGTTTTTCTAGGTTATTTGAAAACCTATTTCAATAAAGCTTATTTTGTTTGAGGGAATTTTCCATTCTGTATCTGTGACGCTACAAGGCAAGTGACATTTGTAGAAATCTATAGGCTACTTTTGATTTTCAGAGTAGCTGTGATATATAATTTTAATTGTATAAAAAGACAGTCATTAATTACTAGGCATACTGAGTCCAAATTCCCAATGCCATGATAGAAATAGCCTGCAAGGGAGGTTTTAAATCTTTAAAAGGAAACCTTAAAAATTGATAGTCATGAATGATAGTAATTCTATCCTGTAAAGCTTTAGGTTACTTACAAGAAACATGATTTGTCTTGATTCTGACTTAAAGATTTCCTTGAAACTCTTGGAGGCCTCCTGAATGTTTTAAGCAGAGTCCAAACAGCTGAAGGAATTACTATTCCTGACCTCCCATGTCCTCAATGTCTTCTCAACAGAACACACCTTGGACACACAGCAGTGGCTCTTACGGGAGAGGAGGTGTTGGGGTGTGGGTGTATAATAGACATAATGCAGAATATCAGCCCTCAGCCTTTGATTATTGTATCCCATTTGTGGCCTCACATGGAGTTTTTCCATAGTAAAATACACCGAAATCTGATTTTTTTCCCCCTTCCTTTTCTTCTTCTGTGCTATTGCTAGCCTTTGTATGCAAAACAATTTTCAGAGAACTTCCTTCTTTAAATTATATACTTTAAAAATAAAAAGCTTCGGAGGTGTAGTTACAAAAGCTGGATTTATTATTACGGCAAGGTGAAATTTGACCCAGTTAAGCTTTTCTCCACATCACCTGACATCACTTGTGAGGTGTCAGACTGGCCAGACAGAGCTTTCCTGCAGAAACCTCAGTTTTCCTGCACGTACCTCGCAATGTTTGGGAACAGTGAGAATGTTTCTCACTGTGTGAGGCTGTCACACATCCTAAGATGAGATCTGTAGTCTACATCTTTATTAACAATGTTGAAATTTGATAGGAATTTTAACACTGAGAAACTGAATACTAAAAAAAGGCACAATGTTAAAATTGATCTAGAACTGATGATACAGGGTGTCATGGAAACTATCACTCAGGCCAGGCACTTTACTGAACTACATCTCCCAGAGAATACAAGGTTAACACCTCCTAAATGAAATATATTGTTTTTCAGTTATGGAGCTACATTTTTAACCAACAGTGCTTTGGAACAAAATCTATTTGGCCAAACTATGTCCTCATTCTACTATGTGGATAAAATAACCAGTCAAGGAGCAAGGCAATCAATAGCGCTTTTATCTTTTGATATAAACCCCACAGATATAGTTCAGACCTCTATTTCAAAATATATTTTAGTTACAAGCACTGAACTTACGTCATGAAGGGGAAATGCTGCTTTGTAGATTCCAGTGTCCAGTAATTTGTTAATGCCAAACTTTTTCACATTGTTTTTGGTTGCGTATTCCACACGGGACAAGATAAAATGAACCTGAAATGTATAAAATATTTTTATGTCTCTTGCAATCTGAAAGCAATCATACACAACTATACCTGTTTCAGCATATAATTGAGTTAAGAAAGGGTAACAAGTGCAGACAAAATTAATTGCACAAGGTATACGAATCATTCAAATCCCTCCTTTAAATTCAGGAGGAAGAGAAATGGGACAAATGTAAGGAATGTTTTCCTTCTGGTTTGTCCAGCCTGTTTCATAAATGACACAGAATTATTGTATCCCAAATATTCCTAATTTTTCAGGATGCTTTCATGAAGGTAATTGCACTTATTTGATTAAAGGAATCTTTTCTTTTAAGATTAAATGCTAAAAATACTCCATGGACTTACAATTCGGCTTCTAGTTGCAGGATTAAAAAATGTGTCTTTGTCTTGAATATAAAAGTTGGACAAATGTTCCTTTTGAAAAGGGGCAGTGAAAAACTCTTGCTCAGGTTTGATGATATTTTCATCCACTCTGAAGAATCGACTAAACCAGTTGAAAGCTGAGTCCCGGGTTTTCAGGTCATTGGGTTGCAGAGGTAATTTGATGTGCATAACCTCAGCGTATGTGCACAGCACTTCCCAAGGTGCATGCACTTTCACAAAAATAAGTTTTTCATCCAAAACCTGAAATGAAAGAATATTAAAAATATGTGTGTGAGAATATGAAAGCAAAGGACTTTTCATAACAGTTCTTAAACCATCCAGAATTTTCTCTCTTTACAGCTCATATATGATTACTCAAAGTCACATTCATTGTCCATCTCAGCAAATATATCACTAGCTTCTGTAAAAGCACTGACATGAGGTGGAAACACTCAAGCATATAAGGACATATAAAGATATATAAAAAAAGACAGCTAACTGTTCCCTTAATGCTTGCATCTCTTCAAAGTGTCTTACAAAGCCATTTAAGTCTAGCAATGCTTCCCCCACACAGGTTTGTTAGTGTTTGTACTACAAACACTAGTGGGGCAGCTGTGGCTTTGGAGCTGTCATTAACTCCCCAGCAGCTCAGGTACCACCCCGGGGTGACATGGCTTGATGGAAGCAGGCAAGGCACCCATGGGTGCTCCTGGGCAACATCAATTCCCAGCTTCATAGGTCAAACAGAGAGAGGGAAAGGGAAATCAGCTGAGACTGCAGAGAACAACAGCACGGGGCACATTTTCTCCCAGTTGCACATCCAAACCAGCACCAGCAGGAACCCCAACAGCCAGTCTCATCTCCTCTCTGCACATTGCCTGTAGAACTTCTATTTACACCCTGCATTAGTGAGTCTCAGCCGCACGAAATTACATTACGTAGCTTGTTGGCTCAAGAACATGGGTCAGATATCTGATCTAGCCTGGGGAAGCTTCCAGTTTCAAAAGTTTTCAGTCATGATCGTGGCGGAGTGACTGAAAACTGCAACATGTAAGTATAGGAAGAGAGTCATGTCAGACTTTCAGCAAGTGGTTTACTTCCTGATGAATGTGAAGAGCCAGGCTGCATCCTTGCACATGCAGCAGGAGGCCTCACTGCAGAAATCAGATAAATCCTGTGATGCCATGGATTCTGAGCCTAAGTTGGGAGGAAGGGACAAAGCCACCTTTTGTGGAACTTACTATATAGACAACCAACCAACCATCAACAAATTTAAAATGGAAGTGACAGTGCTGTTCCTCCCCGGAAGCCCTGGACGGAACACCACAGGCCTGCCGGGTGGGAGGGGAAGGGGCTCTGAGGGCCTCCAACCCTCCCTGCAAGAGACAGCAGCTCTGGCAGCTGGTGTGCCTTATCACAGCACTCTTGACCTGCCCACAGACAACATCGCAGCCCAAAATACACAAAGAACAATAGCTACAACTACTTGCACGGTGCCAGGCTTTGCGAGGAGCAGGGCCATGCGCAGGAGCCCTGTGCTTGCTCTTCTGGCAGGGCCATTCTGCCCTGGACAAACCACAGGCTTCCCACTCCTCCTACACAGCCAGTGTGGGAGAAGAGCCTCTCTGCAGAGCGTAGCCAGTAATTTTTATCTTCCAAGTGCTGAGCAAACACAACCTGTATAATCTCCCAAATTCCCATCTTTTATTTTGCAGAGGAAGCAACAGACACAAAGTTTAAAAGTTTTCACACCAGATCACTGACACCGCTAGTAGAAAAAAGGTGGGCCTTTTTCTCTGAGAGGAGAGAAATGTTACAATAAATTCATATATCCAGTCTCCTTATTCCCATAGGGGTGGCTTTGCTCTCAGACACGGCCGTTCGCACAGAAAAGAGCACTCACCGATCTCGTTGCTTCAAGTTGCAAGCCATTGTTTATCAGGTTTGATTCGTATGCTTGTCTCTTCCTCTGTTAAAAGATATTGAACGCTGTAAAACACCTGTTCCAAATTTCACAAATACGTATGCATAGAAGAATGGAAATGCCTCCCAAAATGAAGAATCGTTGGGTCATTATCTTTATAGCCCACTTGACAGCTACTGTGGTGATAAGTACAGTCTTACTAATCCTGATCAGTTTTTTTTTTGATCTGATATGCAATATTGCCCTCAAATGCAATTGTGGAGAATTCACTCTTATAGTTTCTGGTACATTACAGAGGTAAAAATGTGCCCCAATTTTTGAATTTTGAGAGCAACTACATCTGAAACTTATCTCTTTTACCTTTAGTCTCTAATTGAACTACTGATGGCAACCTCCTTCCTCTGATTAATCTGCCCTTTAGAAAGTCTTCATCTCAAGTGCTTTCTATCCCACTTTCCTTCCAGAAACCTCTAACTTTGTTCTTCTTGCACAGTAATCATATGAGTTCACATAGTGCTTCAAACTGTAGTAGGCCTCTACATTTTAGTCCATGGATAAGCATCCCCAAAGAAAGAAGCCGAGAGCTGTAGCACTTGTAAAGTCAGTGGTGTTACTCTAGGGGCATTCCATGTCCCCAGAAGGACATGACAAGTTTTCCTCAGTAAAGATGAAATTCAAGGATCATTTTAATTTCACTTCACTTCAGTTACCAGCACTTGGCAGATAATGAGTTACAAAAAAATTTAAAATGTCTTTGCAATCTTGAATTTGCTTCTCCACACACGACCTCTCCCCCAAAAACATGGAGACAAGCATGAAATATACAACTTCATGAGGGAATTATAAGAAATTTTGAAACTTCATGTGAAGTAATCCAATTTAAAAGCTATCTGCATCCACTGGCTCCTTCTCTGATGAGCTATTTGTTGATGTAAGTCAAGGGTAGCCAGCTCTCCCTGGCCTACAGACAGCATGTCAAAATATCAGCATGGGTAAGGGGGGGCAGCTGTAAGCAGTCAGGGCCAGGGAAGGGCTTCTTTAAGAAGTTTGCCAGAAGGAGATGACATTAATGCACTGGCGACTGATGGCTTTATTCTGAACCAGGCCAGGTTACGCATGCAGTGAGGTTCTCAGAGTGATTTGGTGATGCTACTTTCTTACTCCCAGATGCTTTCATGCCACTGGCCAGCCTTTTGGTTGTTTATATCCCCTGTGCTTAAAGGATTCTGCAGCTGCCACTACGGGAACTTGAAAAAAGAAGAATGGTCCAATGCTTTCTGTCACCTGGTTCTCTATAGCCAGACTAATTGCCTTAAGATCTGTGCTTACGATCCAGGCTGGTTGCTACTGTGAAGAACAAGAGTCAATGAATGAGACTTTACATAAAGTCTTTGGAACTTTGATAGGTACATGGATACTGGTCTTCAGGACTAGACCCAAGACTCACTCACTCTAGGGGGTGAAAACCAGATGTTTCAGCAAAAAGAGCAAAAATATTCAGGAGTTCCTCAGGAACAGGTCAGTTGTACTTCCACATAAGTTTCATCCAGTTCTTTAAAGACTGTTTTAAGTCCCCAAAGCAGAAAAAACAATTTATTCAAAACTCTAGCAAGTCTTGGAATTAATAATTATAAAACTGAATAATAATATAAACAGCCTACACCATTTTAATTTGTTAGTTCTCAGCTGCAGCACCTGTGTGTGGCAATGGTTATCTTTTATCTGTTTTAGGTTTTCTGCCTTTTTATTCCAGTGAATATCACCTTGTTCTTGGGTTAGGGAGACGAAGAGCCAAATCTGGTTTCTACTTTAATCAATACTTATCACATTTTTCCGCATTCCTCTCTTTCTCAGGATAAAACCACAATCACAAACTTTGTTAGCACTCTTCATGGAGGTACTCTCCACATCCCATTAATCCACTTGTTTATTGGTGATAGTATAATGCTGTTTATTTTTAAATTGTGCGTATATATGCATATGCACATCTATAATACATTGTATATATTTAATACTTTTTGTTATCTAGAATTTTGACGGTAGCTGAACCTTGAAAAGGACACAATATAGCTGTTTCCTGTGACATCTAAGTCTCTTCATTGTACTAACAGTGCTAACTTAGAATCCCAGATGTGAATGAATTTTTTCCTTACAGTAAGGTATTTCCTCTCCATTCTCCTCCAGCGATAAAGTTTCAAACTCATTCTGGCTTCTGAGTAAGCTACATAATGATTTCCTCTGCAATTTTTGTTATATCATAACTCAATCCCCTTACCAGATCATTAATATGTGTAGTACAAAACACAGGAGTTGTTTGTTGCTCCACTATTAACTCTTCTGCCATTTCATCCTACCTCTTTATTTCCTCCATATTCACGTCATTCTTTGTAAGGTGAGTAATACTGAATCATGAAAATATTTCAACCTGAGTTCTGCCTTGTGTCAGCAAATAAAAAAAAGCAGAGGGTTAAATACCTGTTTCGTTTTGCCCTAAATAGTGCAAAGAGGAATGCAGGGCGATTTTCATGTGTAGGAGTCAAATATATATTTTTTTTTAATCTTGCAATTCAGATTACTTTAATAATTTATTATGGCAAGGAGTTCCCCAAATTAATTTTGCCTTCAAAATCTTAGAGGAATGTTGACAATATTAAGGTTTCTAATAATGCATTAATGCAAGTAGTGAGAAACAAAGCCCCTGGGAGGCTTTGCTAATTAGGGGCTTTGCTATTTTGTATAAATGATTGAATTATGCGTATGATGATCTATGGAGGAGCTAGGCTTTTACCCAGAGGAGTCTATAGTGATTTTGCATTGACTGGGGAATACAGCATAAAGATATGATAGCTTATTAGGCTGGAAGGTGGAGACTGCCCAAAGTTTATTTTAGTATCCAGCATTTTGCTCAGCTACCTACAAGGCTAAATTGTAATAATAATGTAATCATGGTAATACTGCTGAACTAAACCCGACATGGATTTTGATGGTTGAATGGCTAACCAATAGACTAAGACACTATGGGATGCATAATCATATACAATCTTAAGAAAGTGAAAGCATAGTGTAAGTAAATGCCGAGTATCGCAGGCACGTAGAAGGGTTAGCTCTTGGGAGCTGCTCTTTCACCACAATGCTTTCAATGTCTGGTGATTGTCTTACCATCTGAGGAGACTAACAAGATTGTGGGTCTGGAAACTGGTAGCAGACCCCTAGCAGTTTTTTTCTCTGTTTTGTAAATGGTAGGGAGCACTTGCTTTGATTACAGTGACAGAAGAACACCAACTTATATCTTTGTTTAGTTTCTTTTGTGCAAAGATAAAAGTTCCCCACAACAATATCCATGTGGCTTCAGGGGAAAAATCCTAACAAGGACGGAGTGCTTGAATAGCCACCTCTGCCTCACCTGAGGGGCAACAGATAAATCACAGTCAATAAGAGAAAGAGCATGGGGCCCAAAGCCTCCCCCATGGAAATCGGCTAAAGGGAATGGAGAGGTTCATTGTATCAACATTAGCTGCCAGCTCTCACCATTTCTTTGATGGTATTTGAAAGCTTTTCTGAAAGTTGCAACTGTCAGCATCAGGAAATTAATTGATTGAGAAGCCCAGCTTCTCTAAGCTTCTTTCCCTTATCTTTGAAGATAATCATAAAAATGTGAAGCAGAATACACTATAAAGGCTGACACAAAGAAAGTAAACCCAAAGAACTCCAAATACATATTTTCTGAGATACCTTCTGATTTTAAGGCAGCCTTGTGATTTTCTGAAACCTGATTCATGACCACACAGAACTGACAATACTGCAGTCTGGCCCAGCTCTCAACAGTGGCTTCTAGTCAATCTGTTTGGAAAGCCCCATAGGAATGTGTGCAGTAACTTCAGAGTAACTCCTTCCTGCCATTTGTTTTCTCACCCTTCTGTCATATTTCCTTCCATCCATTAGGCAAAGTAGTAAAATTTAGGTTTGGGGTTGCCTCAGGAGCAAAGATTTTATTTCAATGAGTTCCTGCTTCAAAACCCAATCCATCCAGCAGAGACCGGGGCGGGTGTGGTTGCCCTCCTCCCAGTTTTAAAGATTTCACCCTTGTTATCAGACTTCCTGGGTAGGTCAGCTGGGCAAACCGTGGCCGTGTGGAGCCTGCCATCCTCTACTGCCTCAAATCACTGCATAAAATGTACTGCTCTTTCTGTAAACCCAAGTATTGTTCTGCCACCATTGGTGTGACTCATGCTAAACGGCAGGAGAAGTACAATTAGTTTTTTAAGTTATCCAAGCTTTTTTGTTTGCCGGCTATCTAAACTAAACAAGTCTAGAGGCAGGGAGTGTTCATTGTTTGCTTACGAAGACAAACATCTCTAGCCCCACTGAAATTCTCCATAAGACTGTACTTAAAAAAAAAAAAGACCTGTAATAGTCTTTAAAAATTATAGTTTTCACTTAATTGGAAAAAAAAAAATAAAAAAACCTGTCTATTTCTGTGAAGCACAGATTACTTTATGGCTGGACATGAAGGTTTTATCCACATTCCTTCTTAAATTACTGACAGTCTTTCCGTTTATTTCTGTTGGGGGAAGCAGATGGACTAGAATGACATTCTGCATCGATCTATTTTTAATTCGCCTTTCTGGTGCTGACCCTTTAGCTTTCAAAAATGAGTTCCTGGAGGACCCCAATAGATAAAACTGACATTTTGGAGCATTCCTGGAAAGACTGGTGATATTTAATTTTTGTTGTGATGGTAACCTATCCTGAAAAATAGGGTACATAAATTGTAGGTATAAAAAAACATGGTTTGGGTAGGAATTTTGATTGCTTGCAAGGTACTTTTTCTAGAATCTGCTCTTGACAGTTTGATTTTCACTAATGCTTGCAAAATTAATTGTATACCAACTTACAAAGGTTTGGAGTTTGAATTGAGTTGCATATATGAACCTTATCTGCTAACTTTTGAATCTGTGAATTATGTTAGAAACTTCCATGAGCATGTTATTTCAGAAGTTTGGCTTTGGCTCCTTTAAACAGATTTCAGTAACACATGAAGGTGAGGGAAGCACAGCACCACTGTGCATCTCCAAGTGCTTCAGAATCACATCTTTTTATTCCTTCTATCCAAATCACTTTCATGTTTTTAGTTATTTCCTTCTCTTCTCTTGAGTTGTTTTCCCAAGTATGCTGCTAATTAATAGACTCATGCAATTCTCTTGAAAAAAGGACAGAAAGCCACTCAAATCGAATATAATGACGGTCCCAGGACCCCACTCCTCTCTTGCTGGAGAAGAATAGGTGTATCTGTGCCCTGTTTCTCTGAATCCAGTAAATTGGCTACCTGGGTTGAGGGGTGTTTTTCAGATCCTTTTGACCTCAGTGAGGTGAGGATTTCACCCTAGGAGAACAGATTTCATTGGATCTGCTGTTCTTTAATAATGTGGATTTTCCAAATTCTGTGAACAATAAACATCTGGATAATAGCTCTATAAAACTGTCAAGAGAGTCAAAGAAAGAGTAGCATGAGCAAGGAACCTATTCAGGCTTAAAGCACCTTGAATTACACAAGATGCTGCCTATAAAATTTGCTATTTTCAGGTAATCATTGATCAGAGACGGACAGACAATATGCAATATTTAAAGGTGACAGTAAATGGCAATACTCCTCATCTTGATGTCTTGTATATCATCACAAGTGTAGAAGTCTTTTGTCACAGAAAAAAACCCTATAAGCAAATAAACCCCAGCATCAGTAAAGACAAGCTATCAACTAGGTTTTATGCCAGTACCTGTGGTAGGCCAAAATGTTAATTCTCTCCCTGGCATTCCAAGGATGCAAAACTGTACCATAAATGCCATCTTCCTTTCCATCTCAGACATAAGATATATGTGTTCTGTTTCTTCTTTTCTGATGTTCTATTCACCTTTTTGTTTTGTTTTGTTACTTAGTTTCTCTCCTTTCTCTCCCAGTATGTGTCAGGCAGGTCCAAAGGCAGCGCCCAGCATCCCTCTTGGGAAGAGGTACGGGAAGGGAAACGTTATCAGTGCTGCCAATGCCTGTGCAGCATTTGCTTTGGGAACGAAGATGGGCAGCACATGCAGCACATGGCAGCACATGCAGCTTCCTCTGCTTGTGCAGCAAGTGAACTCAAGTGAAATGAAGAACCTCTCTATCTTTGAGATGACTAAAGTATTTCTGTGCTGATCTGCATCTATCCCATCCTAAAAAGTTAGAAAGCTTACATCTATGCATATTTTAAAAGTCTGTTCCTGCAAAAACAAATAAAGGGAATGCATTTCTAAGCTGATGACACCTGGATGTGAGGCATTAGAGAGAGGGATCCAGCTCTTCTGAGCTGTCTCACAGAGTTTGGTTATGACCAGGTGACTCATTTCAGCTTATGTGACAGACTCATTGAAGAAAGCCCTCTCCTCACTCCCTCTTCTCCTTCCTCCACCTTACAGTGTCCTCTGGCACTTTACCTGAGGTGTAATGTTTCATGGTCAGCTTTGGATTTTTTCATTTGTTCCCCAGCTCAGTGTCATCACACTTGTGTCCTCTCTTCTTGTCCTTGGAAGACCTCTGTAACTGCCACTTCTTCATCCTTGTCTCTGTCTATGTTTTCTATTGCCCTTTCAGCACCCTATGTGTTCTCAGTACCAAAATTCTTGCCCATGGCTTCCACAATATCCCTATGGATTCAGATTCTCCCTGTCCATGGAAAACTGCTACTACTGCTGCTTTCAGCTTCCTTCTGACACATCCACATCACCCCAGTCATATGTCTCAATCTCCTGCCTGTACTTCTGCCAGCCATACAGCTGGCTCTTGTTCAGCTTGGTGTCCACCAAGACCATGAGGGCCTCTTCCACAGAGCTGCTTTCCAGCCACTCAGTCTTCAACTTATCTGATCGTTACTCTGATATAATCTTTTTCTCACATTTGTTGCGTGTAGGTAGACTGCTTCCTCTTCCTCAGCACACCACGGACTCAGTGTGGCTGCAAATCTTTGTAGGACTGAGACCTTTGAAACTAAACTTTTTTTACAAGAACCTTCTGCATTACCCACAATTTCCTGGTCTAATTATTCATAGCTTCATTCTGGCTAATGTCCTAACATTAATGCTACACTAAAAATACTAATCCATTGCTTACACTTAATTTCCATCACAGTTTGGAAAAGACACTCATTATATTTTTAAGTACATTTGGGCAATGGCCAAATATTACAAACATAAATGTAAAATGTTAATTGATAAAAACAATTGTTTCCAAAGGGGCAGCTTTTTGTTTCTAATTACCTCTTTCAATTAATTTTTATTGCTGATCCTGTGATGATGTGTAATGCAACATCCACCCACTGCAGGATTCCCTCAGTCCCTACTAACGACATTCCTTATGGCTGCTCCGTTAATGCCAACGACAACACTGTGTAATGAATATCAACCAGCTTAGCTACAGGCCTTTTTACTCCTACTCTTCTCTTTCTTAACTGCAAATCATTATTTGTATATGTGCTGCTTTCAGTGATATCTTTGTCCTTGCCTGGCTCTACCAGAGGCTGCTTCTGGAACATGGAGAGTTGCTAACTCAGAGAAGGAAGTGGGTGGGTGAGAGAGTGCAGATGCCAAGGGTACAACAGTCCCCTGGGTGGATATTTCTCAGGCAGTTCACAATTAAAATAGGTCAGTGGAATGGCTGAGCTTGTTTCTGTGGCCCTGAGTGCCATAATGAATGTAGTCCACTGATAGACCTACTAAGATAATTTAAAAATAATATTTAAAAATAATATATGATGGTCATTCACAGTTGCTAAGGACCATCAAACAGTCACTGGCTTGAATCAGAAATTTTTTGCAAGATCCTGGGGAGGGCCAAGCTGCTGGAGTGTCAAGGGAAGGAGGGTTTCAGGGAGAGATTGCCGTAGTCTGAAAATCTTGCTGTCTGATTCTAACTGGGCACTGGATACCAGACTCTTCTCACATCTCCTGAAGGGTTCCCTCCCAGGAGGATGCTCTGAGGTCACCTAGCACACACTAACAGACAGGATGTGCAGTGCTCTGTCCATTTACAAAGCAGCCTACTGGCTTGAGCTCACCCCTGTTCCCTGCTCCGTTTGGTGGGCTTCAGTTTCCCAGCTCCCAAGACTACTCCAAGGACAGGGCAATGCAATTGCCCTTCTGGGTGAGGACACTGTCCCTCCTGCCCATTGTTCTTAACACTGAACAAGTGATTCAGATTTTACTGAAAATGACTTACCTTTTGCTTTTTACGATCACTCCTCTTATGAGTCATTTTTTTACTTTCATCTTCATACACCAGAACAAAGTCAATTCTTCGCTGCCCATCGCTGAAGAACAAGGAGTCAGGCTTATCATCAAAATCAGCCTGGAAGGCAAGTAGGATAGGTTAATATGAAGAACTTTACTTGCCAGTTCCTTGCTTGGTTCCTGTTGCACGGTATTTCAGTGAACAGAGAAATATTGTGTCAGACTCATATAACACAAAGACAAAAGTGACAACAAAAGTAGCACGGGGTAGAATGGAAGAAAAAAGCCCCACGTTTAGGAGGTCTCTGCATGACATAGAACAGCAGAACGTTGACCTAACTTTGCTCTTTCAAAAGAACATATGAGCTTTTGGCAATGGGAGGAGTACTGGCATGCAGCACCGCTCCCGAATAATGCATCTGTCAAGTAATTGCACGCCGTCATGTATACAATGTCAGATAGTCTGTCTGCAAGATATGTTTTTGCCCAATGGGAGTCTCAGAATTAGTGCGCTCCCATCTGTCCCCTTACCTGCCAGAAGTTTAATCCTCTCTGCAATTAAAAAAACTCCACATAAAAAGCCCAGTAGTTTCATGCACCCTAATACCCAAACCCACCATTGCCCAGAGAACAAAGAGCATGACCAGGCTGCAGATGAATTCTCAAAATGGACACATTCTGTGAGGATATATTCCTCTTTTATTCACAACATCTCAGCAAGCAAAAAACATTGTTGTACACCACATATCCATCATGTTATAATATATGCCAAAATCAAAAGGATTAATATATCCATAAGCCATTATCTACTCCCCAGAGGACAGTAAGATAGATTGTCATATCCTCTAATAACATCTTAATCTGTTGTTTCGTGTGTGAAACAATACAGACACACTGATGACAAGGGAACCTGAATCCTCAAGTAATAACTTTGTAGTTTTTTAGAGAACTCTGAGGCTGCTGTCACATGTAACAACCCCTCCTTTCAGGTCATATATAGCTGTAATGTTATCAGAATCATCATGCGATGAGCACCAAAGCCTCGGGTATTTGGCCAGATACATGGTGTTAATGATGGCAGTGCCGCTGAAGTTGACAGGTATCAAATGTCCACAATGGGTCTCAGCATTGTATTAGAGATGGTAAAATCCCCAAAGGTGGCAAGACTCCTATACATATGAGCCTTGGCTTCCAGATGGCTGGGCATGCAGGGTGGCCCAGGGCAGGATCAGGCCAGGCAAAATGACCCAGAATAATCTCTCAAACATACCGTGCCTTTAAGGACATGAAAAAGATTTGTAGATGTCCCATTCCTGAAATTTCCTTGTCAGTGCAGACCAAACTTCATGAGGGATGTCAGGTCCAGTTTGGGGAGCTCTGGGATGTCTGGTCCATAGAAAAGCACATGGAGAAGTGGTTATGGGGTCAGAGACCCCTTAAGTGCAGACTGAAATGGTGTTTCTTCAACTGTGATAAAACTGAGAAGAATGCCAGTCTTCAGTCAGGAGCACCTCAGTTCCAGGGAGCATAAGGTGTTATAGGAACCACATTTGTCAGTGTTTCCAAAACAAAATTTCCCAGGAGTTTTATTCTAAACCTCTCCCTGCAGACTATTTTGCTGCTGTTTATTGTCTGAGTCAAAACAGTCGACCAAGATGTGTCTCCCCGTAATTATAACAAAATTTCCATATTTTAAGTAAACTCAGAGGAGTTTAAACTCACAATTTTTATTTTTTTTATGTTGTATGTGCAAAGGCCAGGATCTGCTGCAAAGAGGCCCTGTTTGCTTAGTTCTCTTTGAATTCCACCTGTGCCTAGAGATTTGTGACAAACCTGACAGCAAGCAGCTGATGACACACATATATGCATATATATATATATGTATATGCTGACATATGGCCTATATACACATATATTCTATGTTAGTTTCACAACCTGGCCTGGGATTAAGAAACTACCTAGGCAGTCACTAAATTAGCATACAACTGCACTCTGTGAATCAAGTTTAGGAAAAAAAACTGCTTTAAACTTTCAGAAGGCATCACCAGACCACAGTGACACTGAGTATCACCCAAAGCACGAGAAGTTCTAAATTCCTGAGAGCTCGGTGTGGCACAAGCCCATCAAGCAATCAGGCTTGACCCTGACGAGTTTTCCTGCTGCTGAGGACTAGCCCTGAGTGTAAAATGCAGCCCTGCTGCCACCATTTCCAGTCTCCTTTAGAACATAATCACGATGATTTCATGTTGACCAGGCTCCCTTCAGGAGGAAAGCATCAACAACAACAGCTGGCAGCCCCTGTTGGGAGCCAACAGCAGAGAGGATGTGGGGAGGTGATGGCCACTGCTCTCCCCCAGGACACCTGCAGGCTCCGGCCAGGCCTAAAATTGCTCCATATTGCAACACTGGAAACACAGAGCCCAAATCTTGTGATAATGAATCAGGAGGGGAAGTGCCACTGTGAAAACCAGGAGGTTTTTTTTAATTGGGCTTCTTTGCTTTTTCATTCCTCCAAACAGTTTTATAATAACTTCCTTTTAAAGAGACAGAGTTTAGTTGCGAAATTCAAGCACTTGAAAGCAGAAAAATAATAGTAGCTTCAAGTTTTTTTCACTATAGCTTTTAGCTTTTTCCTATATGACCTATCTACAGGATAGAAAAGAAAGAAATGGCAGAGACACACATCAAATCAAGTTTTCATCTAACAAGTTTTGATCATAATATGTGATTGCATAACTTCACCATTTAAATAATTTTCCTTTAAATGTGGTCTCCTTTAAGCTTATAAAGCTTTAAGCTTTTTTAAGCTTTTAGGAGAAAGTTCTTTACTGTGAGGGTGGTGGAGCACTGGAACAGGTTGCCCAGGGAGGTGGTTGAGGCCCCTTCCCTGGAGATATTCAAAGTGAGGCTGGATGAGGCCCTTGGCCGCCTGGTCTAGTTGGGGGTGTCCCTGCTGACTGCGGGGAGGTCGGACTAGATGACCTTTGGAGGTCCCTTCCGGCCTGGACCATTCTACGATTCTATGATTCTGTAAAAATAGTATGTAATTTAGCAATGACTGGCTTAACTGGATTGTCAATAACCAGACGCAAAGCATGCCTGTTAATCAGTATTCTGACTCATGAATTTACATACATTATTTCATTCACATGAGAATATATCTTAGCATATGCATACACCTTTATATATATATATCTAAAAATCAAACTATGCATATGTATAATGGAATATAGCTGAAATCAATACTGGACTGCTTGAATCCAGATACACAGAAGTTCACTAATGAAGCTAACTTCTTAAATGTAATCTCTACAGCTTCTAATCATGAGGGCATTTTTCAATTGACTTATCCATAGCCACTTTATATATCAATAAAATAATAAAGAATTGAGTCATAAGCCTCAATACTTAAGAGATCAAGGTAAGACCCACACAAATAAATTGTAATGTAATGTTAAGTGTTGCTCAATTAAAAGTATGTCGTAAAATGCAAATGGGAATGTAATAGTTAAGATTCTGACAGCCACATTAACTGAGATATGTGGTGTATCTTGTAATCCCTACTGGATAGTCTGTAATGAAAAATCATATATTATTCAACAGAATTACCAGGGGAAAAACAAGGCTGGAAATCAGAAAAGATGTGCTGTACTCTGAAGTTAATAATTCCTTTGAGACAATGTTTGTTTTTAAAAAAATATTATTTGACAGTATTACAAATGTTATTATGATACAAATGCACACAAGCCTGTGTGTGTAGACACGTAAGTTAAGGGGGCTGAAATTCCGATACATATTTTTTCTTAAGTATCAGTAGCAAATGATAACCCAAAATAATGAACAGGCCCATTGGTACCTCTTTGTTTTGGAAGAAACAAACACAGGGTCTATTTACTGCACTTTCTAATTTTCTTAGCCTCAGCATAATCACATTTTAAGTACTGACGGAGGCAATCAGTTGTGTGCTCTAATGTTATAATAACACCCTAGTGGACAGCAGGTTAATATTGATTAACACCATTAATAAATTAAAAAAACCCACAACATTTAAGTGTAAAATACTAATTATATTTACCACATACCCCGCAGTGCTTCTGAACCCTCCAAGTGCTGTACAACCAACTGCTTGCCTACCACCAAGAGGCAGGGAACTATTAGCTGCTTTATTAACAGAAGGAATCCAAAGGAGGGGAGGGCCTGGCAGTGGAGAAAGCTTTTTGGAACACTTAGGTTACTCCCATGTGGGCTAGCCTGAAGGCAGCACGGCCACATTTGTGTGGGTGTACCTCTGCGTTTCAGTTCAGGGCAGGGTCAGATCAGGTGAGCATCGGTGGCTCTTCACTCCAAGGAATGAGACTGGAGGTAGCCTGCAGTAAGAAAAACCCCAGAAATGTGTATAATGCAGCCACCACCTCCTCAGCACTAAATTCTTGTTCTACAGACCTGCCGTGTGGGTCCTGGCTACCAGGTGATGAAGGCACAGCTGGTGGAATCCTACCAGAGCTGGGCCGTGCCGCACTGGTGCAGTCACACTGAAGGTCCCTGGCCAGCCTTGATCAGTCTCTGCCACACACCCCCCAACCTCTTCATCCTCCCCAGCTCTGGCCACCCACGGCCACCTCAGCAAAGGAATAAGGAAAGAGCTTCCTGTGTTCTTTGTTAAGCCCAAGCAGTCATCAGTAAACAGCATCTGCTCTCCCAGACCTCGGGACAGAGCAGCACTTGGAAAAGGGACAAGTGGGACACGAAGACAAGCTCGCCCCTCCATGCAGGGCTGTAAAGGCTGAGGTAACTGTTTTGGCTTCAAGTGGCCACGTCATGGAACTGACCCTCAGCCTCTTGACTCAGAGCTGCTCATCAGGAAGGAGACTACCCTGTGCTCCTCCCCAGGTATAAATGGGCTGGCTGGTATCTAAGGGGAGTTGCCGTGTCTAACTCTTGAGACCGTTCCTGTAGCCATGGCTACATGTGACGCCTGCAGCAGAAGATGAAAGGAGACCATGATAGTGGGAAGCTCCCTTCGGCAACAGCGATGCTCCATGCCAGGGGAGAAAAACCGGTGGCATGACAAAGAAACCCATCTTCACTTTCCTAGGCTTCTCTGGGCATGACACCGTTAAACACACAGCAGGAATAATGGTGGGAAGGGCAGCATGGAGACAAGCACGAAGAAAAGTATGTGCACAGGAATTGCAGTTATTTATTGTTTACTGCACCCTGAACAAGCACAGTATTGTAAGCTGTATTTTTTAAAATAACAAGAGATTCTGCAGCAATGACTTATCTAACTGGAAGGATAAAATAAGTGCTTTATTTTGTCCACATGAGCCTTTGGTGTGACTGTCAATAGCACCAAATGTAATCATTACTGGAGGGATAAACTGCTTGTCTGTGACCTCGCATAATTTTCAGATAGGCTTCAAAACAGGTTCCTGCAACGTGCCAGGGAATAAATCAGTCCTGGGAAACAGGAGAGCAGAGCAGAGCTGTGTAACATCACCTCTGCTGACAGGCACCTGCAAAAAAGCCCTCTGGCTGGAGCACGGTGACAGTCTTGCAGGGGACCCGCAGGTTACACTTCAGTTGTGGGTTTTACGTAGGTGAAAATTTACGAGTCCCTGTTTAGGAGCACAGTTATTTCTTGCTACAGTCCTCAGGAAACTTCAAACCAAGTAAATAAAAAGGAAACAAATTATATTACCAGGATATAATGAAACATGATTATTTGTAAAGTGCTTTGAGGTCATCTGGAGAAAATGTTACAGAAATATAAAGTTCTTCTTACTAACACAGCTATATAACAAGATCTTTTACTACTTTATGTTCTAAGTGATCAATAGAGACAACTTTCTGACATTAAGACCAACACAAGCATTTACTTCTGGAAGATATAAAAAATATATATAATACATAAGATACTCCAGGAAGATACAAGTTTATTTGCATACCATTCCTAACGTTGGTCTGTCTCTGTATGGCCATAAAACTGTTGTGCCTTTAACATTTTTCCTTGTGACTCATATTTGCTAATAACAACAAAGAACTGTTTCAGTTCTGTTTTTAGTAACAATGAGATTATCAGCAAGCCTTTAACCAGAAGGTGTTTTTTTTTCTTTTCTTTCATTTCCTCAACAAGCAAAGAAATTTTTTATATGTAACACACTGAAATAAACTGAGACTAGAGACACACAGAGTGGAAAAATGTGGGGTGTCATCACAGTCATACGTTTCTGTCAGGAGAAAGCGGCTGGTGACGGGCCAGGCATCGGGATGCCTCGTCCCCTGCGCTAAGTTTGGACCAGACACCCACTTGACTTCCTGCCTGAGCGTCACGTCGCTGCCGGCTGCAGAAGGAATTCCAGTCACTCCCCATTAGAAAGAGACCACATGTCCCTACTTCTAAAGAAAGGTGAAGGCAGTACTCTGCTGAAAACCTGCTTTTCAGTACCTCCTGTCCTTTTCTGGCTGCGGGAGCCGGGAAATTCACTCTTTCAGACTTCCCTGAAGCCTTCTCACTGCAGAAATTGTATTTGAGGGGCAGCATAATAGACCATTTGAAGAAGTTATCCCCTCCTCTGCAGATGTTGACTCTCAAAATAAATATACTGCTACATTTCAAACTATCTACCTATAAAGCAGGTAAGACTGCAAAATAAACATCTGAGAGCTGGAAAATGCTTGAATTAAGGCTACCTATGCAGTTTTGTCTGCCTTATAAGCATTGTTTATGATACCTTACTTAATTGCACAATGCCATGCCATACTTCTGCCCTCCTTGTAGTAGTTAGGGAGTACTCCTTATTTTCTTTATTCAATGTCTTTTTTTTTTGGTTACACCTCATCTGAAGAGCCTGAACACCTAAAATGGGGATTTGCATCGCACTGTGCCTATGGTACTCTCCTCACAGAGTCTCAATTTTTACAAATGTTGATAAATTTAATTTCACAAGATTCCCTGTGAGAAAAAGCAACAGTACAGCCCTCATTTTAACGGTGATAACATAAAGCATCCAGAGATCAATGCCAAAACCTGTTGACTGTCTCCTAAATTTAGAGCTCTAGCTTGAGACACCGGGACAGTGACATCTTTCCACATTGCTCAGCAATTGTCTCCCTTCCAAGAGCAATACACTCACTTTCAGGTCCGTATGTGACTATTTGGAACAAATGCAAACAGGGTCACAGATGTTCCCTTTCACACTCAGGAAATGAACCAAAGCTGGATGTGACTTTGCAAGTCTTGCTCAGAAACCCTACAGCAGAAGCAGGGATAAAATCTAATTATCTTGGACTGTATTTAGTTTCTCTACTCGTAAGAACCTTTCATTTTTTCCCGGCAATTTCCTGCCACATTTACACCTTGCTGAAGTACTACAAACAGCATCCTCATAGAATTTGGTCTTTTTGGAGATTAATGTCCCACTTGTGTGCTGAATGAGACAGGGATCTTGTGGCAAACTTAGTATCTGATCCTCTAATTAGACACAGCACCAGAAGAAGAACAGGACCATTTCTATTAGCCAATAACTTACTCAATTTTGGCTACTCCAGGACAACTTGCAAAATCAAATCAAATTTCCAGAATGCTGCCAGCTGCAAAGCATGGTCTAAGTTTAGACAACAGGTGCAGTACTTACCTCTAGTCAGTCGTTTAAGGTTAGGCTTCCTATTCACCTTCCATTTCTAGCAACAATTAGCACTCACCTGTTTCACAGACAGGCTCACCAGATCTCAATTTTATCTTTCTGGCCCCTCCAACCCACTGAAACTGCCCAGTGGCCAACAAGGAGGAAATGACATGGAAGGAGCAGTGCAGAAAGGATGCTACTAAAACTGAGCAGAAAATACAACTGCTGGTAAACATGAGTAACCAAAAATAAAAATTGATTTTGACAGTTGATTTTCAGTAGAAATAAAAATAAGTTCTACTAAGATTGCTCAGAAGAGACTGTTCTAACCACAAGGTATACGGCATTCCAGCTGTTTTGATGCTATTTCACTTCATATAAATACATTAAAAAAAATGTCATTGAACCACAAGGAGAGTCCAAGAAGGATTTTCACACCATCCTAGTCAGGGCACTCAGCTGGCAAATGGCAGATCCTGGTTTCATCTTGTGTTCCAGAAAATGCTTAAACATTTTTCCTGAGACCAAATCAGCTTTAAACCAAGAACACCCTGCTGCAAAATGCTGGGGCAGGGGCAGGGGAGGTGAGGGTATCCAGCTTCCAGAAGGAAACTAATTTCCTGATACTTTGGGTATTTGTTTCCTACAGCAGAAGCAGGAATAACCTCCCCTGACCCATACCTATGACAAGTACTCAGCCAGCAAAGCTGCTAGAGCAGCTCCCCAAGGCTGTGGTGCACCTTGGTGCAATGAAGGCTGAATCCTCTCCTTCATTTATGCTGCTTTTGAAATGCTCTACTACTACAGCAATCCTTTGTCTCTATCTTTTATGAATCTGTTTCCCATTTCAGTTTGATATGAATCAAAATAGCTGTCAGTTTGGTGGTCAAGCTGGAGAATAAATTATCTAAACAGCTCCAGTCATCATATCTACGTATAAGACAGGGCAGGCTTAATTCACCCTCCTGAATTTGAATGCTTGATTTACATCTTTTATCTCTTTAGCTCATTTTAAATTGTATTGTATGTTCTCCTAGTTATATAAAGAAAACAATGTATTTCCTTATGTACAGAGAAATCAGCAGGACCTGAACCTCTGCAGTCGTTAACACAGACCTCCTCTTTGCAAGCTAAAGGGGTAACCAGTAGCTGTGGAAGCAGGCTGTTATTCCTGAAGTAATATCTAGAAGACAGCAGTAAAAGAAATGCAGAGGCAGGTTCAGTTACGTGTAAATAGCTGATAGTTTAAATGTCTCCTTGGACTGGGCTGACAGGGAACCAACTCCAGCTCTCGTTGCTTGGTGGCACCATTATGGTACTTTCTTGAGGAGTTTCTCTATGTGAAAGCTATCATAAAGCTCTTCGGTGCCCACAATTAATTGGTCCAACGAGAAATTCTTGACACTGATGAACCTGTTTGTTCATGCCTTGTTCTTCTGTAACACTGATCCACTTGTGGAGGTAGCTTGAGTAGAGAAGACAACCAAAACGCACCCAAAGCCAGTGACACTAACCTCTGTCATTAGAACAAGGAAACACAGGACAGGCTTTTATGATGTATAGAGTTGCCCTATTAGCTTTAGGATAAGTATATGATTTTACACCTTTTTAAATGCAGGCTTAGAGCTATCTCTTTGCACAACTGCAGACCACACTTGTACCGTTCTAGGGGAAAAAATAAAATTGGACTTAGCAGCATGCCAGTTGGGCATCAGGTTGGCAATGCATGTGCCACGGCAGGGCTTGTTGGGGTCAACTGGCCAGCCCTTAGAGATAAGAGATCTGAGGCAGGGGATCTTCAGCTACAGCCAGAAGCCTATTAGCTGCAGAAAACATTAGGTGAGCTGGGGAACTTTGGATAAAGGGAATGGACACCTCCAGGCCTTTTTTATTCTTACCACTTCAGTCTCCAATGGGAGTAAGGAATTTCTTGGTGTTTCCAAGCTTTCTGTAAAAATCCTGAACTCACATGCCAGCCAACTAATACCTGAGTGTGTATGAATCTATAGGATATGTGTGTTTATATGTACGGTGTGTTCATAACTATTTATCGCTGCATATACACATGGAAATCCTATATATGAATGTATAAAATTATTAATAGACAGGAGTGTGTATAGAGTGTGTATCAATATATAGTGAATATATATTCATCACTTTTAATTGAGTCCAGTGCCTGTGTCAACCTGTACTTTCACATCTGAGTCAATGACTTCAGGTACCTTTGGGGAAACAGAGATACAGCAGCTCAGATTCAGTTGCACTGATGAACTGCATGTGCTGCAAATGCAAAGGAACGCCAGTTTTCTGGAACAGCTACTGACTGTTGCATATCTATACAAGAAAAGATTACAGGTAGCCATAGTTAAAGTAAAGAAGTACTCACCCATTCAGGAGTATGAAGGTTTTGCTGATCTGGCACAGTTCCATAAGTGGGAATAATCATCTGGTTCAGTTCCAAGACTAAAAATAAGCATAAAAAAATTAAAACATTTTAGTGTTTCGTGTGGTATGTGTTTTGGTGTTGTTGTTTTGGTTTTGTTTTTTTTTTTAAATTTTATTAATGGTTTGTGGAGAAACTATATTTCTCCACAAATTGCACTTACTTGGCATTTCAGAAACAGAATGTTTGTGTCTCACACTTCAGTTATAATCAGCAGGTGGCAAGAGAGCAAAACATAGATTTTGCCAGGATGACAAGCTAATGCTAGGAGAGCATCCTGACCAAGTTACAGTGATGCAAAGCACCCCTTTACTAGTATATGTTATTCAGTGTTCAGAAACTAACCACACTCTAGTAGTAGTTACATTTATCTTTTGATTAAATAAGGTACCAGAACCGTCTCCATCTGTACAAATAACCTGAGCTCACGCTGACTGTACTTGTCAGGCAATAACAGTACCAGGGAATTCTTCAGAAATCCTGGAAGGGGTGTGATACAGGCAGTGATGCTGCAGCATTCATTCTATAACAGGAATGATTTTCACATAACCTAATAACACACCTACAAGTTCAATGTGTATTGATGTTCCAGTGACTCCTCACCCATTTTGCCAATCTCTTAAAAACCAACAACCTGAATTCAGCAGACTGAATTGCTTTCCTGAAAATACAGTATAAAATAGAAATGATCTTGTGAAGTATGCTATTCCATGATAACATTATCAAACTCACTGGGAAAAATGACCACCAGATCAAGCAATAACACGCAAATAACTGGATAACACACAAATCCATCCTAATAAAGCTGTTGGAAAGAAGTGGACAGCTGTTGGAAAGCTGTTGGAAAGAAACTCTACAATCACTGCAAGGTTTAGTTTCTTAACAAGCATTTTTGGGTCTTAAGAAGAAGTCAGATAACATCCTGAGGCTGAAGATAACATCAAGTGGCTGAAGGGAGAAGGCTGCTTTCTGCCTATGCATGGCAGGCAGATGGAACCCATGTGTTATTTTTAGATCCTTAGAACAGTGAGGTGTCTTAGCCAAGTTTGTCCTGCACTGCAGAAAGGGTCATCCATAAATGCAAGTGCTGTCTAGAGAGGATAGCCTCAACTTATCAAAAAATGCTATAATACTAAAAGAAAATCCCCAAACTCTACAACAATCTGTTCCATAGTACTCTTAGAAGGAAAGCTAAACACCCATTAGATACAATGCCAGGACAAACATTACTGATACGCATGTTTGTTTTGGTTTTTGTTTTTGTTTTTTTGGGTTGTTTCTTTTTTTTTTGGCTTAAAATCTTCATTGATATATGGCCAAATTCTCAAGAATTTTTAAGAAGTGATGCTCATTTATACCAGCTGAAGATATGTCAAAACACTTAGAAACGGAGCACAACAAGACTGCTCCTTACAAACCAGCAGAATTCTCTCATGGCCTCTAAGCAAATGAAGTCTCTGGTTTAAATGCTCTTCCATAGAGTTTGGTAGGGGCTTCCTTCCAGATGTTGAACTGTCAGTTTCCAGATTTCTACTGTGGTGATAGTGTATACTCTAGGGAGGAGACAAAAGCAAGTCCATGAATTTTTCCATCAGCATTGCTTCAGAAACGTTTGAGTCATAACCCGTTGTTGGCCCAGTTGAATAATCAAAATCCGTGAGGTCTCAAAAACGTTAAATGTTTGCCAGCAGTTGAGAGAGCACAGGAAAATGTGGACTTGTGTAGCACACAGCCATCACATGTTGAAACCATAATATGAGGACTCAGAAAACATGAGCATATCCCAGCAGCTGCTGCAAGATTGCTGTATATGCACATCATTATATTTTAATGCGTGTTCAGCTCAGACTAGTGTGAGAAGGTCAAATACATATCCTTGATGTCAGGGTAATGGGCATCACCCTACATTCCTTAGGGCATTCTTTATTCTCTACCTGGACACAAAGATTTCCAGATACAAAGTGCTTCTGAAAACCCACAGAAGAGGGAATGTTTCTGTCCATGTATAATGGGGAGGGTGAAGGAGAAATATAAGCAGCTTGCTTTGAAATATAAACATCTGCTCTGAAACTTGGTGTGCCACTACATGAAACAAGCAGATGTGGACATAGACAGGAGGACTTCTGCCAGCCACTGAACTGCAGTAATGAGAATAATGAGTTAAAACAGCCTTTTTTGCAGAGTCCTCATGATGTGCAACTACACCCCCCTTATCAGTGTTGTCTAGAAATCCCTTCAGCCAGAACTGAAGAGAAGGGGGAAACGTGGCATTCACAGCAGGAAGGACAACTCTGGTTCTCACAAATCCTGATGGAGCTGGGGCTGGCCAGGAACACCCTCTGGAGAAGTTTATATGTGACTACGACTTGCTTCTCGATGCCTTTGGCCAGCGTATCTTCCCCATATATGGTGACTGTCATGCACACTTTATCAATTTACCAATATTTAGCACCTTAACACATTGGTTACTTGAAATACCGCTCAGTTCAGTCCCCGGGCCATTGGTCCAATGAAACGACTCATGCAAAAGGGACCTGCCACTCTCACTTCTTACAGGACACTAGCCCAGAACTTCTCTCAAATTAAATACAGATTAATGTTTGTGTGAAGCCAAATCTACAAAGCTTTGACACTACCTGAATGTGTACTTAGGTAACATTTGTTCTGGCAATGGATTACAGGGACAGCTGTGCCAATCTGTGCAGTTTTTACCTGGAAGAGACTGCTCCAGTTGCTCAGAAATACAAAACTGGTACCTGCAAAAACTCAGGTTTGCTAGAAAAAGCTGCACCTACACAAAGTGCTTTTCCTACCCCCAAAATCACTTCATTTACTTCTCTCATTTTCCCTCCAGCATTATGGTAAGGTCAGTTTTAGGTATGGAGGACAAGAATGAAAATTGCAGCACAAACATTTGGGGCTGGACATCAGGAAAAGCTTTCTAACAGTGTGAACAGGAGAAGAGACTGCCTGGGAAGGCAGGTGAGGTCATATGAGGTCTTCAACATCACAGATTCTTCAGTACAGATTAATTAAATATCCTGGAACAATCTAGGCCAAGTTGAATCCGTCATGAACTGGAGGATGGATTAGATGAGCTTTTGAGGCCCGTTCCAGACCCAGTTTCCTCTGAGTGTAAGTCTGGTTATAGTGTTCTCATAGTTATGTCCAAAAAAGACCACTGAGCTGAGATGTTATATTAAAATAATAATTCTGCTTACCTGTACCTTCTTCTGAAACATTGTGACTCCTGTTAATGTTGCATCGGAACACATCAAGTGTAGATGCTTATATGCTACCACTCAGGCAAGTAAAGCAAAGAAGGTGTTAGGGAACAAAGAAATCTCCAGGATTTGTGCTGGCATACTCTGATTTTAATTGACTGATACATTCGGTTCTATCTTTAAGCAATCCTGGCAACATATGCTTTTGCCAGAACTTTTTATCTTATTTCTTTGAATTGGAATCATAGATTTTGAGTTCCTGCTTAGTGGTACCAGTTGGTCTTTGATCTAGTCCTTACAAAAGATGCCGTTGTAAAAATTTTAAGTGCTGAATCTGTGCATACTACTTTACAAGAACTGAGCTGCCAATATATCAGTGGTATATCCAGCTGCCTGGAGATCGTTCTGCAATCCAGCCAGGACACTGAACTGCGCTGTCAACATTTCACACCTTACCTCAAACGTGCCTATACACAAGTATACTAAGAAGTCTCTGTTAATCCCATGCTGCCTCTTTATAACCTGTGTATATCCCATACTGTTGTCCAGGCCATAGGAGATGAATCCTGCTGCTTTATGAAATGAATCCACTGGATTCTATCAGTGATTTCTTTTATGAGCTTTCTCTATGGCTTTGCTTTTTCACAGGTTGGACATCATTTCTGACTGTATTGAATAAATTCCTTGAGAGCAAACGTAAAATGTCCAGTCCTTTCATTAGCTAATTGATATTGACACTGAATGGGTTTGCAAATTCAGTGATCTTCCCACTGAATAATTAAAGGCTTTCATGAACGCTACTAGTAGCAATCTCTGCCTGTTGCTATGGCAGAGGTGAGAGTCTATGGCACACTGATAGTCATGGAAGCTGCTCTTCCTTTGGAATAAATATAAGGAAAAATTAAACCTTTCCCTGGAGTCTGAATTGTGAAATAATGGAAGCTGCCCAAAGTACAGGCAATAGGGATGAAACAGGTTTTTTGAGACTGTAAATTAAGAGGCTTGAGAATGGAAAAAAAAACAGTATCCAGAAGTGAAAAGAAAGATGCTGTCCAAAAAACATTAATGACAAGAAACCCACAAAGATACTGGATAAGCTGATGTTTGAAAAGAGCACTGGGCTTGGTTCTATAAGCAAGGACATTGCCAAACATGCCTGAAGTTTCCAAATTTTTTGTGCCAAAGAAATTCTTGGCTGCTATCGATTTCCTCTCTAATGGAAATAATTAAAGGGGAAAAAGGGCAGCAGCACTCTTTAAGCTTGCAAATCACCTACAGAAGCCAAATTAATGGACACAGAATTATTCTGACAAATTAAAAAGGTTTTACAATACCAAGCTCATAGTATCCAGTATTTCACTTCCCTCAACAAACCCATGAGACGTTGCAAAGGACAAGATCTCAGCCTTGGCAATGAACAAGGTACCTCATGAGCTATCATGAAAGCAAAGCCAGGAAGCAATGTCTGGAATCCTCCAGGGTCCCCAGGCCCTTCTGCTTTACTGCAGATACCCTATCACCTCTCACTTCCCTCAGAGTATTTTGTAAGAGTACTCACTGTCTGTCGCAGAAGTTTTAAAAAGTTTAAGTCCCAAATCCTGTTCTTACAGGGGGAATCCCTTTGGTGGGATTTGCCTGCTCCATAGGGTGCCTCCTCAATAAGCAGGGAAGTTTACAGTATGGTTACAGAAAATGAGTTGTTTCAAAGCTAGAGCACAGTGTTGGGGCACGTCAACTTCTCTGCACCACCAGCTGCACTCACAATGCCACCCCACGGGAAATGCAGGTGGGAAGCACGGGAGGAAAGGGTAGCAGGCATTGACCAAAGGAGAACACTGAATAGATGGCGTGTTTCAAACCCCCACCCTAGCTTAGCCCACAGCACTGCCCTCGTGCAGCCGTGCCTTCTGCAGCAACATTCGCTGCTTATCAAAATGTAAAAACATAAATACACTATTAGACACATCCAGGTCTTTCAGGCCTCAAACAGATTGCAAAGAAAATTAATATAATAACAAAATACTTCACTGACTGGAAAATATCAGGAAATATTTGCATGCAATTTTTATGTGAATCGACACATTCCTTGAAATGTTAGTTTGGCAGTGCTGTCACCACATTAGAAAAGAAAAAAATAGTCATTAGTAAGGTCTATCTGCCCTAATGAAAATCAAATGAGGATATCGTATCAGGTTTGCCACCGTGAGGCTCAGAGAACTGGATGGAGTCAGATCATTCCCATCTGCTGGGATAAACAAGAAGATCCAGAGACAGTGGGTTTTGCCCAGATACTGCTTTCTAAGTAGAGCAGATCCTGTACCACACACCTCCCCAGAAAACAGACCAACATTGTGGTTGTATCTCCCCATCTTGGCAGGCTGCA